ATAGAATAGAATAGAATAGAATAGAATAGTATAGAATAGAATAGAGTAGAGTAAAGTGGGTTGAAGTGTGCATGACAAGTTAGCTTCTTTCCATTATTATCTCTGTAGAGGTTGGTCATTATATGCCTGCATTTCTCGTCTTTCTAGGGCCAAATCATGTTATGAAATGTTTTATATGAAATAATATTTCTTGGAGAAAAAAATAAATAAACTCAGCTACGTTTGTTTTTTTTGTTTGTTTGTTTTGTTTTTTTGTTTGTTTTTTTTTTTTACAATTTCTCGCGCTGTAACTTTTTTTTGAAATGACAGCTTTCTGTACAAACTTGTCTAGTTTTCCAGAATAAAGTATGAAGAAGCTGTTTCTCCAACGCTGATTTTCTGTCAGCGGCGTCATCAGTGACGTCAGAGACGGGTTGTAATCGGTCACGTGGGCAGAGCAGGTCTGGATAAAGCGCTCCTCTGATCAACACCGACTCTTGGATTAGATGCTCAGTCGCTAAAGGATGTTTTTAAACAAATTGATTTATTTAAAAGAGTAATAGAAGAAGAACATTTAAAAATAAATAAACGAGGAAAGCTGTGAGGAAAACGGCTGTGATAGTCAAGGAGACCCGGAGGCGCACCAGATTCCCCAGATCATCCTTCTGTCTTCGTGATGTGAGTATATTTTTTTAATCGAGGGGGGGAAGCAATCATATCTAACCTTTAACTCTATTGCATCAATGTGTTTATTCATTTCTAAACGAAGGAGCTAAAATCACAGAAATGAACGCGATCCATTTCTAGACGTTTAAACTGGATTAATAATTCGGATTATGTTGCTGTTTGGGTGATTTATTAGTGTAATGTACCAGAATAAGGGGATGTTTGTATGTTGATTTCTTGTGCGTCCATCGGCTCCGTTATTTAGAGGCGTTTTCCTCTGCATCCTGTGCTGATGCTGAGGAGCGGCTCATTTTTCTGTAGTGAACAAAGGATTAAAACGCTTAGGCCTATTTTATATTTAAATTGAATTATGCATGCAATGCATATTATTATTACACACGCACATCCCACATCATGCTGCACGCTTTCACGCTTTGCAGGCTGTTTCTGCAAGGCTGTTAGATGCGGGGTTTCTCTATCCTAAACACCCCCTCTGAGTAGCCTGTATGCTCTCATCTTTCTGCTCTGTTTATTTTGGGCGTGTGTGGTCTCTTCATTTAGGAGCGAGGGGGTCTCTCCCTCTGTCATGCATGAGCCATGCAAATGGACGATGAGGGTGAAGGTTGTGTTTATGGTTAAGAAGGAACAGATGCAGAGTTAAACACCCTGCATGTTGTGCAGCTTCCCTCTGCCCATCGTTCCTGCCCTCCTGTGTTGTTAGGTCAGCTCTCTAATCCCTGCCCAGCCTGGCTGTCCAGCAGCCTACTGGGTCACAGTTACAACAACATGGCTCAAAGCACAGATTCTGTTTCTGAAGGGTTAAAGTATATTTATTAGCATTATTTATAGCATTTTTTTTGTATGGTATAGAAAAAAAAAATTTCCTTATGAGTTTTACGTGTAAAATTAGAATTAAAAAAATGCTCAAGAGTTAAGAATTGCTTACAGTATGTCTGATTGTTACTTTATGGAGTTTCAGTTGATTTTTTAAAAGACAAAAATGCCAAATTACACAAGTAGTCCATAGTTGTTGTCAATGCAACAAGTTTGGCAGAAGAACTTTACAAATTACTGCTTAGCTAACAGTTACTGATGACTCATGTACACAGTGGATGTTGGAAGGGGAAGTTGGCGAAGAGAGGATATCCGCCGTGTCCTTATTTGTAGTGTGAATATGAAGAAAATGTGGTGAATGAAAAGATTGCAGCTCCTGAAGAGTCCATGGGTGACTCACCTCCAGCCCTGAACCAACACAGGACTGCCCTCAATGAGGAAGGAATAAACGGCAATTATCCATCCATCCGTCATTTATGTTGCATTTTAGGGGGATTTTGGTATCATTAAAAATCAGTAAATGTTCTTAAAACATTATGTTATCATTCACCTCTGCAGCATCTTCGTTTCTATGTTTATGACGGCATAATATTTGGCAATGGTGTCTCTACACCTCTCATCTGATTTGTTTGAAGCAAGTAGAATTGCTGTGATGTTTCCTCAAATTTTCTCATCTAAATCTGTTCACTTCAATACAGTGTTCTCTAGTTTTTAGTCTTTTATTTCACAAAAATAACAAACCTCTTGTTTAGAGAATTTCACCATTAAAATGAATTCGTTTCAAAGTATTTTTCAGGTTCAAAAATAATGCACCAACTACATCATTTAAAGATCATGTGATATCGTGTATTGAGATAATGTGTAGCTAGTTCACTGACTATGCTATAGTAACAATGATAAATCAAAATGCTGTTAACTGATACGACGTAATACATTTTTTTTGTATTCTATGATACAATGTTACATTATTATGGATAATATCCAGCTATTTAAAATCTTTGCAGAATATATAAATGGCTTAGCCTGACGTAGTCCTTGTGGGCGGGACTAAGTTCGGACTGGCACCCAGGCTATAAATGGCTCTCATGCTGTAATGTTTCAAACTTCATAAAAGTTAAAACATCTGTGATAATGATAATTACACAGCTACCAGACTCGTGATTGTGTTTGCAGCAGCCCAGAAACAAATGTTCTTCATGCACTTCTCTGCTTAGTTTTAATTTTGTTGCCATGGTGAGGATTAGTTATAAATTTAGTCTTCTGCTTCCTGTTGAGGGGGAGGAATAGATGCAATAGCGAGAGTTAAGAGCAAAGATTACATCTTTATTTAATCCAGAACTTTTCAAGTATTATCCAACACATCTGCTGTGTTATCAGATGTGTATCTGCATCCAGTCACTCAGAGCATTTTATGCTCTAATCACTGAGAGCAGGTATTTGCAAAGTGGATTAAGTGTTATGTCACACTAAAAAAGAGAGGACTCGGCTGAATAGACATTAATAATATGAGGTTGATTCTAAGCTCAGATTAAAATAATCATGTCTTGCTATATCCTGAGGCGCCTTTTAAAGCTTTTGTAGTAATTATGCAAGGTCTGTGCAATGTATTTTTTATATTGTAATGTTCTAATATTGAGTTTTCTAAATAAAGAGATAATAATGCAATAAAAAAACAGGAAAATTGGCCATATGCAAATGAAATGCTGAATGTGCCATATTAGGAAAACAATTAAGAACAGAAACACTTTTACTGCTCTTGATGGCAGAACAAATATACGGATCAGGAGCAGTGCTCATTTGTTTTATGAGACTCATAATCTGATAAGGACTTATCAGATACATCATTTATTGAGCGAATGATAGCATATAAATATTTGATAACATCTTAGCAAAGTAGGCTTCAAACTCTTTGGTGAGTCTTCTTGTTAAATAGAATAAGGTGTTTCTTTTATTTACATAAATTATTTTTCCAAAAATATTCAGTGCAGTGTTAAAGGTGATAGTTAACTGTCTTTGTGTAATTGTCTGTCTATTAATTTATTCTGAAATTCTTTGGCTTTTTGCGTCTGCATTCTTTTATAGAAGTCCAATTGTAAAAAAAATAATACATTTTGCTTATCAGCCTATTTTTTAAAGAAATCTGTGCAACGCTGACCTGTATCTACAGAATAGGATTGGTGCCACTGAAAAAATAAAAGAAAGTAAACTGATTTTTAAATTTTATTTCAGTTTAACATGGGAAAAAAAGTCAGAATTCTGACCTTTTTCTACAGATTCTGACTTTTTTCTCAGAATTCTGACTTTTTTCTTTGGATTTTGACTTTAATCTCAGAACTCTGACTTTTTTTTCCTCAGAATTCTGACTTTAATCTCAGAATTTTGGATTTGGATTAATTAATGTAGATGGGCACTGTCAAGGAAGAGATGTGGAAGCACTCAGTTTAACTGAAAAAAGGTGGGAGTTGTTTTGGAGGGCCAGTAACACATTGGTGGAAAATGACGCAATTAGGCAACTTTTTACGTCCCTGAGGAGTCCCTGGTGATGCTATTTCACTAATGGAAGAGCAGAAGGTGATTGAAATAAGAGAGCTAGTTTAGTCTCTAAAAAAGATGCTAACATATTTGTTAGCTGTCAGATTTCAGTCAGAATTCTGAGAAAAAAAGTCAGAGTTCTGACTTTAATCATATTAAACTGAAATAAAATAAAAAAATCAATTAACTTTTTTTATTTTTTCAATTGCCCTAATCCTCATCCGTATGTATCAGAGCAGCTGTATTGAAAGATCAAAACTGACTGCTTAGCCGACATATTCTGAGCTCACACAGGCAACTAGAGAATACATTAGTGTATAGAACGTATCCTAAAAATCAATAGTACCGGTAATATTTTCTCTTTTAGACAAATCTGGGTGTAGAAGGAAAGATTTCACTACTGCAGGTATTCAGTTGTTATAATGCACCTCACATCACTTAAAATAGAATAAGTGGTGGTAACATTAAAGCGAGGCCATCTTAAAGGCTTAGCTTGTGTCTATGCAATATTTCTAAGATTCATCATACATATATTCAGGTCTCAACATTTAAGATTACTGATTTAAAAAACCCTGCTTAACTATAAACTACGGGCCTATGATCACCCTTAAGGTGATGAGTCATGATTTAAAAGAACTGCTGCTTTCAATCTGCAGTAAACAGAATACTTATATATTCCTGCCTTTCTTTTATGTATTTTTTTTTTTGTAGGCAATTAAATGATTTCAGTTGAATTCTTAAATCACAACATGATGCCATGTCTGAATTGTCTAATCATTGACCACTCTATTGGGATTTAAATCAACAAAGAAGAAAAATTGTGTAAAGGTGAGGCAAGGCCACAGCTTCCACTGTGCCATGGTGCTTGAAAGTGAAATATCCAGCACAGAGGGAGGGGGAAACACTTTACATCAACGCACACATATCGCAGGGATGGAAAAAAACTAAACAAGTGATGAGTGTGGGGGGACTGCTGAAAGAGATAAAGCAGACTCTTCAGCTGAAGTAGAATAAGCTGCGCCAGTGCTCAGAGGGCTTGCAGGGCTCTGTTCTTTTTGATAAACCCACAGCGAGCTGTTTCACAGACACTGCTAATACACAAATTCATTTATCATAATATTGTTGAGGCCCAGAAAAATGTTGCATGAAAGTTAACTTGTTCCAAGCTTGGAAACAAAACACTGTTCAAACTCATTTTGAATTATTTTTCATTGTTTTTTTCTTCTTAAACATGGATTTTATTTAACATAATCAGTTTTGACACCTAGGCAGACATATTCTGGTGAAAGATTGGGTTTTTCCAGACATCAATGTTAAATGCTTCCAGATGGTGTATATTCTTATTTATTTTCTGTAATATGAAGTACATTTGTAAGGACAGCTTATTTTCTTACCTTGTTCTGCTCCTTTCTAATATTTTATACATTACTGAACTCTATATAACCTTCTTGTTAATGATTTTGTTAACAGTTGATGTAGTTCGTTATAGATATATTCGTCTTTGTGACCAAAGTCAAGAAAAGTGAGCATAAATCATCCAAAAAATCAAATGAAAATAATCCCAAACCTGGACATCAGTGCATAACACAATGCCTGCAGTTCATAAAATCAGGATTTGGAAATAAAAGCCGTTTAACCCTGCTGGGAAGGACATCGTAAGAACTTTGAGACTTAACAAACCGGCAACCAGTAGAGGGAATATAAAACACCCTCTGAGGAGCGCAGTCTGCTAATCATTTACCACATTTAATCACATTTTGTGACAAAAGCTTCCATTTAAAAGAGTGAATCTTTTTCAGAACTTGGGTTAGGCATTGCAGTTTCAGATCAGATTAATACACATCCATCACAGACCTTCAGTATATTCACTGAGTCCCTGACAATAGGGATGTGGTGCAGCTTTCTATGTGCTTTGATGACATGGCGCCTGGGTGTAACAAAGTCCAGCAAGATGTTTGTCTTTTTTTGTTTTCTTAAAATGACTGCTAGAGCTGCGATTGGAGCACTGAGGATCTTCTCTGTAGCCCTCACTGCTGACTGAAGGGTTTATCTGTGCCAGAGGCAGAGCAATTGGAAAAACTAGATGCTGATGCTCCGGTCCTGATTAGCATTTCCATCACAACTACCAGTTGCATCAGTACTCAAATTTCTCCTAACAACTGTCACCAGAATAGCCTACATTATATCAGCAGCTCATGCAGGGGTCAGTTTCACAAGTAAGCACAAAAACATCAAATCAACATTTTCCTTTGTAAAAACATTTTTGTTTTTCAGCCCAATGAAATGGATCCTCAGTTTGCACCATCAGGTGTTGGTGACCTTCTACTTAGTGCTGTAAAAGACTATTTCATTTCATTTCTGTCCAGACCAAAATGTTCTTTTTAGTTAAGGAAAAACTCTGGAGGGGACATGGAGTTAACATATCTAGCTATCATTCACTGCTCAGTGTATTTTAGATACTGAAAAACTCTCTCTCTTCTTTTAAAGCTGGACTAGATTTTGTGTTATGGAAAAATAAATAATGAATTTCTACCTTCCACTCTTCTCTGATCCGTTTAGTGTGGGAATGGGACATGATGGAGGATAAAGGGCCCCGTGTAGCTGACTACTTTGTGGTTGCTGGCCTCACCGATTCATTCAAGCCCCTGGAGGAGGACCTTCACTTTGATGATGCCGGCACCAAGTCTGTTAAACCCAAAGCCCCTATTACCGATGTTGCTGTAGTGATACGATCCCTTGGTGAAGAAGTGCCCCTGGGCTTCACCTGTGTGGAGAGCACCCCCTCAGGCCTCTCAGCAGAGCTTAATGGAGCTAGCCTTAGGGGCCCACAGATCTTCTTGTGCTACAAAAGAGGCAGAGATAAGCCTCCACTGACAGATCTGGGGTGAGGAATAATCTTTGCTGGCTGTTCCTTTCTTTATACAGCATCACTTCACTACTTTAGGATACATCAATCTGCTCTTAAAAATAAATACTATTTTTCTTTTTTTTTTTTTACATTCCATTGTGTTTCAGTGTTTTGTATGAGTGGAAAGAGAAGCTGAAGCCTGGATGCCACATTGTCCAGACCACGCCCTCAGGCCGCCCAGCCAACATCAGCAGCTCGTCCTCCCAGCGCATCTACATCACATACAGGCGAGCGCCGAAGAGCCAGCCTCACACGTCCCTGGCTGTCACTGATGTTTGCGTCATTGTTCCTGGCAAAGGGGAGATGCCTCCGCACACCTTCTGCAAGGTGGACAGGAACCTTAACAGCAGCATGGTGAGACAGAAAATGAAAAGACTGCACATGTAGCGCCTTTTAAATCTGAGGTATTCCTCCCATACTCACCTCCATCTATCAACTATCACCAGATTCCCTGTCCCCAGTTTAGAAAAGCATTCTGCAGAAAACTATAACTATACGGTCTTGATGTGATAATCTAACCCTAAAATATAACATTGCAGTTGGTGGTTATAAAGTGATTATAGGAAGAAAAGGTTTGAGGGAAAAGCATATTTAACATTGCCATGTACCGTTCTATAAATAATGCAGGTTTATATTTATATGTTATGTTTTGTCTTTACTCTTCAGTGGGGATCTTCGGTCTACCTTTGCTATAAGAAGTCTCTTGCTAAAGCTAATACCATTGCTTACAAAGCAGGTAAGTTGTTCATATGTTCCAATGTGTCAGTACTTCATAGTGAAAAAAAAAAAAAAAAAAGACCAGCACTCTAAAACCCACTCTGTCTGTTTTGAGCTCAGGTTTGTTGTGTAGGTATCCTGAAGAGGACTATGAGTCTTTCCCACTGCCTGAGTCAGTCCCTATGTTCTGCCTGCCCATGGGGGCAACGATTGAGTGTTGGCCAGCTCACACCAAACACTCTCTGCCTGTTTTTTCAACCTTTGTACTCACAGGAGCTTCTGGAGAAAAGGTAAAACCACCCACTTGTATGTTTCTTTTAATCAAAAACCACATTTTTGTAGAAGTTGTATCCAAACAGAGCAATCTGACCAAAGCAGGCTTTCATAAGAGTATTGTTTTGGAAACCACTTCTCTCTTCAGGCTAAGTTTCATTTGCATCAGCAATTGTTAGGGTGTTTCCATGCAGTTTATTTCAGCTTCTTCACCTCTTAAAACACACGTCCCTCTTTAATTGCCTAATTAAATTTAGTTTTAGCATCTTTTTCTCCTCGTCTGTCTTTTTCAGTGCATCGAGTTCAATAATGGGTTTGCTTGTTCATAAGGTGCAGCAGTATTTCCAGGAATGGGAGACATATAAATCAATTTCTGGCTCTGACTGGAACCTAAGGTGGTCCAAAAGCTGTTTTAGAATACTAAAAGGCTGTTAAGTCTTGTAAGCAATGCAGCATAAAAGTTTTTTTTGTGCAGCCTGTCTTTTGAATAATGAATGGCTTCTGCAGCACTTGGGCTGATGTGCAAGTTTCAATGCCAGAGTGCCCATTTTCTTCTTGCCTGCTACTTCTTGTCTCCAGGCTAGCTTTTTTTTTCCTGTGCCACAGACTGATGTGTTCATTTACCCACTGATTTTGTTAATTTATCATACTAAATATTTTTTGTATCACTAGATTCCTTTAACTGTCAACTGGCTTCCTTTTTATCAGAATGCATAGTTAGTGCAGATAATTGTACCTCACAGTTTGACCTCTCTTTTTTGTACAGGTGTATGGAGCAGCTATCCAGTTCTATGAGCCTTACCCAGAGGAGAATCTTTCGGAGCGCCAGCGCTCACAACTCGGCCTGCCAAGCTGCCACCTTGGACCCGACAGCAGCAGAAATGTTTACAGCAACAAGAGCATCTGCTTACTCTCCCACTGGCCCTTCTTTCAGTCCTTCAAAAGTTTTCTCACCTTCCTATACAGATACTCCATCTCTGGACCGCATGCACTGCCAATTGAAAAGTAAGCTTCATATTTACATGTTGTTGTTTTTTTTGTTCATACGTCTAATGAACAATTTTATGGAACGTTTGAATCTGTCTCATAGGCACATCTCTCACTTCATGAAACATGTTCCATTTCCCTCCATCCAGAGGCCAAGAATCCTTGTGCAGGTGCAATAACAAAATTATTTTCATCTGTTATTGTGTAATTTATTAATTCTATGTCATATTTTTAACTCTAAATCTTAAATGTATCTCCCTAGCTATCTTAAAACTAACTAACTTTTCAACATGGTCCTCCCTTATAGTTGTCGCCACACGACAGCCTGATTCTGAGCCAACCCGTGTCCTCTCCGCTGCCTCTCAGGTAGAGAATTCAAAGTTCTTCTTTGAAATCTGCTTCTTGTTTTTACTTTTTTATTTATTCATTTATTTATTTTGCCTGCTACAGCGGTGGGAGCCTCTCCACGCTACTGCTCAATTTGGGGCCAAAGAATGCAGTCACCCTGCTGGTGCTGGCCGTCACTGAGCACAAGATCCTGGTTCATTCCTTGCGCCCAGCAGTGCTCACCAGTGTTACTGAGGCCCTTGTGTCTGTAAGTGTTTGATTCTTTAAATCTCCTTTTTGAGAATGATCTTAAATGCCGTTATGCTCAGCCAAAGAAGAGCTGAGATGGAGCAGTCCATATTTGAAGAATTAACATACATTAAATCTCATAAAAGTAGAAATTTGCAGTTTAATCTACCATTCTTGTAGGATAAGGACTCTTAACTAAGACATTTGGTCTAAAAGCCATGTATATGTATAAGTTGAAGGTAAGTACAGAAGAGTAACTCCTGCTGTGTCTGTTGTTTCAGGTCAGCTCAATCATTTATATCCACTCATCCATGTGATAAATGTCCTATTGAGTTTTTTCTTGCTGCATTGGAACCAAATTGTTTGCTTATTGAGGAGAAAATCCCATAAAATACATTCTTTATTTTTTTAGTGTTGCAAAACTTTGAATGTATTGGGGTTGCTCTCAAATCTACAGCAGATCACCATTTTTTTCCATATCTGTTCCCCCTTCTGACTAGAATTGGTGAAGTGGATAAAAACAAGCTATAATAATGGTATTAAATGACCTTAATGAGTGGTGCCTTTATACCGATGTTCAGTGTTTGCACACATTTGACTGGGACTGTATGTACGTATGTTTTTGACTTATGGATTTGTTTGCTCTCTCCTCTCAGATGATCTTTCCTTTCCACTGGCCTTGCCCCTACATCCCTCTGTGTCCGCTGGCCCTGGCAGATGTTCTTAGCGCACCATGCCCTTTTATCGTGGGTTTAGACTCCAGATACTTTGACCTTTATGTGCCTCCTGCTGATATCAGCTGTGTTGATTTGGACACCAACACCATCTCCCAGTAAGTGACCTCTGACTACAAACAGCATGTGATAGATCAACTCTAATACACCCTGCCAAAAGTCATTTCTCCTTGTTTAATGTAATTCTGAAAGTTTTTTCCAAGGTTATCAGTTTCTGTCAGTAGGAGCCTCTCTTATGTAATGATTGTAGCTGGAATGTGAAGTATTTTACTACACAGAACACACAGGCCTCCCACATCAACACAGACAGTTTTGCAAAGAGATTAAGATGTCAGTGCTAATGTCGGTGAACTTGTTCTATCTTTTTGTAATATTTCTCACCTATCCTCCCCACGTAATGAAAACCATCTGTTGTGGTTTCAGAAAAGATGAAAAGAAAGCTTTAACATGGAAAAATTTGCCTCGGAGAGCCTGTAAACATCTTCTGAACAGCCTGAATAAGCTCCATCAGCAGCTCACAGAGGGTGAGTCCAGTCCGATGCTGTGTCATTTTCTAAAGCGGTTTCATGCATAATTTAGATCTCCACATGAGTCTGTTGAGTCAGCCTGGATGGTGGAGAAGGATGAGCTCACTGTTATATAAAATCAGCTCCACGGATTCAAATAAGTATGATGTGACACTAGTTTCCCTTTTATTTGAGGACACCTGACAGCCATGGTATGCTCAGTTTCTTCCTTCTGCCTTTTTTGGTTTTTATTGTCCTACATCCGACTCAGTGAGAGTACATCTGCAGCAAGCTGTAAATCAAAAAGAATGGTAGAAGAGGTAGAGCAGGTGCAGAATTTTTTTTTACACAGGTGAGGATTCTCAGCCATCAAGGTCATAGTCATTCCAAAAAAAAACACTTGACTTTGTTTTCCAAGGTTGAAGATGTTTCGCCTCCCATCCACAAAGCTTTTTTAATTGGAAATAGAAGTCCATTGTTTTTTTGTTTTTTTACTTTTTGGGATTTTTTTTTTTACTGTAGCTATTGCCAAGTTTTATGACCTTGGAAGCCCTTTTTGATATTGAGAAAACCTTTGATTTTTCTGTTAGATTCTGACTATAAGAATATTAGTGTTAACTAAATACACACAGGGGCCCAAATTACAAGTGTCTACATTGGCTCCCATTTCTTTTTCATTTTAATTTAAACATTTTGGTGCTGATTTTTAAATCTCTCCATACTCTGGCGCCCTCTTCTATTAGAACTCTGTTGTTTTCCTATAACCCATCCTGAAGGCTGAGGTCATTATAAACGACCTCAGCCAATAAAACGCCGATGCCATTTTATTGGCCCCGATAACTTGCTGTGCAGTATCAGCCGATACCAATACCATACCGATACCATCTGTTTGAAATTGGTGTGTGCTTATATATGAAGAACTGCATACTACTTGGATGTAAATAATGGCTTTGTCAAGCTGCTGCCTACCTTTGTGAAGCAGGAAAAAGACTAATACCAAGTGAATCCAGTAAAACTTTTTATTGCCTACCTAGAATGGATGACAATAGTTGAATAAACTTTTGGCTCTAAAAATGGTATCGGTGCCCTATTTGGTGGTACTCGCAGATACCACCATTTTAGTGCAGTATCGGGGCCCCGTCCGAAATTGGTATCGGTATCGGTGCAACAATAGTCATTATAAAAGAATCTTCTCATGGTCCTTTTTTTTGACAATTTCTGGACTAGAGGAGATCGCTCCTCCCAGGCCTTGGCACCAAGACTTTGGACGGATCTCCCACTCTCGTTACGTTCCCTTGATTCAGTAGATGCTTTGAAGAGTGAGCTCAAAACGTATCTCTTTTGCACCTCTTTTTAACAACTCCTGTGTTTGGTCTGTGTTATTATGCCTATTATTATATTATGACTTTTTTTTTTTACTGTTTTATCTTCTAATTCTGCATGATTGTAAAACATTTTTTGACCCCAATTTATGTAAAATTTGCTATATACATAAACCTTTACTTACATACTTACATTTGTAACTGGGAAATTGAATTGTTGCCTCTATTTTGTTGTTGTTCGTGTCAGTCAGGCAGCAAGTCTATGCTCTACTTTGTTCCACACTAAACTCTTTAGAGCTATTGATTGGACGTCTGAAAAAGTCTAGATAGATATTGATCGCTCCGAAAAAAAAAAAAAAAAAAACACTTTTGGTTAGACCCTACAACTTGTGGTGCCTTTCATGCACAGACCTCACAATATGGGAGATGCTGGCTCTGAAATGCATTTTTCTTATTGCTGTTGTAATATTTGGACATATTTTTTCTCTGTGAGAGACTTTGTGGTTTGCTGATGCATGAAATATATTCCTTTGTGTATCTGTGTGAGACTTCAGCACTTTTCAATATGCCACATGTTTATGTGTTTACCAAAATAGAATAATATCCTGTTTGATTCTCTCTGTAAGGTTGCCAGTTAAACCGGGACGATGTGCAGATGGACCACATGGTGACTGATAATGAGCTTTATGGAGGAAAAAGCCTCCACACGCTTGAGCTTGAGATACAGGAAGCTTTCCTCCGCTTCATGGCTGCCATCCTTCGAGGCTACCGCTCCTTCCTTCAGCCCATCACCCAGGCCCCCTCTGAGAAGACCACTGATGTTAGCTCCCTTTTTGACCTCCAAGGTAGGTTTTAATCTCAGCCTTCATTGCATCAGAGAAATAAATCATGCAAGTTTGTTCATAAAGGATTACAATAGATAGGAATGTTAAACAATGTTATCAGGTGCTGTATCTGAGTAGAGATCTTTTTCTTTCTTGCAAAGATATATTCTAATTAAGTAATAATGAATCCTGTCTGACCAGCTATTACTCTCCATGCCTTGAGATTTATTGCTGTAGGGGTTTTGGTTTAAATGTCGGTTCTTGCATAAAGGTTTGCCTTAAATGAATTCTGACTATCTAAGTTAAGCCTCTGTGGAAATTAGGCCTGGATGACAAGTCAGAGAAGCAGAATGATTAATAACACAATGTCCCTGCACATCTGTGGGCTGTTATGCAAGCAGAGCTGGAGAACAGCCTGTTTCAAAGCATTCTGCTCATTTCCTAAAATATTGGTTTAATGTACTACTTGACCTCCTTTTTTCCGTGCAGTCTCCAATTAAAGGCACCATCTTTGTAATAATGCTAATAATTTCAAATACTTCATGAAGTTATGTTTTTTCTTGCATAGGGTTCCTGAAGAGCAGAGACCGTTCCCATCAGAGGTTTTACTCCCTTATGACAAAGACTCAGATGTTCAGCCGCTTTATTGAAGAGTGCTCCTTTGTCAGTGACAAAGATGCCAGCCTGGCTTTCTTTGATGAGTGTGTTGATAAGGTGAGGGTCACAGCTAATCTATATAAAATTAAGGCCGCTTTCCAAGCTTTGATTCACTTATTTTTTTGATTTTAAACTAAGATGATCCCCTGTTCCAGCAGAAATCTTCTTATGGGAGATGTTCAATTTAGTACGAACTTACTATGCCTGATGTTGCAAAAAACAACAACATATAAATTAAGCCCTTTATTTATATATATATATATATATATATATATATATATATATATATATATATATATATATATATATATATATATATATATATAAATATAATAAAAAAAGTGACCACTATTGTTCTTGGAGGTGAATGTTTAGCTTAGTGCTGAAGGTTTTTCTTCTTTTGATTTGGATGTGATTAATTCAAGTATTATTGTCAAATTCTGAGGTATTACAGGTTTTTTGACCTTATTGAGGTAGAAGTACAGAAAAACATAAGGCATTATGATCTCACCTATTGCTGTAAAGAAACAAACGATAAGCCAGTTCAATAGATCTAAAATATTTTTCATCCAAATGTTTTACTGCATATGTCACTTTGTACCGCTATTTTACCGTTTGTGGTTTCTTTTCCATCTCTTTGTCCTCTTTGTCCTTGTGGCTTTTCTCTGATAGTTATTCACCTCTGGGAACAAGGTAAGCATAGAGAATTAGTGTGATATAAATAAATGTTTGTCCGTCTTTTGGCTCTTTCGACGAATGTCTGTGTCATGTGTTTTTTCCTTTGTCTTTTTCTGAAATCCTGTGGAATGATGGCAAGTCATTCTCATTGTTTGTCTTTTAAAAGTTTTTATGTACAAAGTCTGTCAAAAGGCTTTGTTGCACACAGAAATAAAATGACAAAACATCCTGCTCCTCTTTTTATAGAGAAAAAGAAATCTTCTCTGTGCATGCAAAACTTGTGCAATGAGGAAGTCACATTCAAATCCACCAAGAACATTTGGAGGTCCAGAGTTGATGTTCATTTCTTCCAGTTATTATTGAGAAGTGGAAGCATTGATTCATTCATTGTTGCTGCTGACGTTGACAACAAATGCATGATTGAGTAAGAGCTTAGGGGTGTGAGGGGAAGGACAGCGGTCCGAGAAGCTCTGAGCAGAACCACAGGGAACACAAATAGGTCAGTCAGAGATAGTTGACTGAATCATCCTCTCCACCAAGCTAAATAATTCTCCAGTTTGTTTGTACTGTGGGGGGGGGACTGTTTAGCTCCTGTAATAGTATTGATATTTTATTTACGGAATAAACCAGTGATAAAAAGATGAGACGAGTTGTTTTAAATTTTTATGGCAGGCTCTTTTGATTTCTTTTAAACAGTTTTAAATGCCTTTGACTCTGAAAATCCGCCAGTTTGCTGCTCCTGGCTGGAGCTTTTCTCTGACACGCTGGAAGAGGAGCTTTGTGCAGCTCTCTTCAAACAGCAGATCAGTCAGGTTGGATGTGGCTGCTTAGTACTCAGTAGTGCTGCCAAAGTGTCTCAATCAAATGGTTCAGTGTCTCTGTGGCAACACAGCATCATTTTTGTCCAGGTCAGTGCAGTCTACTTTCATTTAGTCTTGGTGGATTTATGGGATCAAGCCTCTCCCTTTTGGCAGTGCCCCTCTTTAGACGGAGTGGCATAATTCTAATGTAGATGGACTCATCACTGGCATCTTCTAGTTCTTACTGACCCTCATGTGACCAGATATGAGAGTTCATACAGCCTCAGACACTGTTAATACAGCATGCTTTATTGCAATGGGTGGAATTTAAATTTATGGTGATTAAAGATGAAGAATGATGACAAGGATGTACTTGTCTTGTTAAGCAGATGGACAGCGAACGGCCAGAGGACACTAGGCTGATCGAGTTGGATGAATCCTACCGCAGTGAGCACACAGTTTACATCAACCCTCCAGAACTGACGCCTCTGCCTCAAGGAGAGGAGCATCCCCTGTGCTATAGGTACTTTCCCTCAATTTAACCATGGATGTTAAAAAGAGGAGGAATCTTAGTATTAGGTTGTTTTTGATGATTTTATCACTTCTGCTGGTTCATTTGACAATTTTCAAGTAGAATACATGGATAATGGACCCTTTACAAACTAATCCATGCACCTATTTCAATTCCACTTCCACTGAATTTGTTAGGACAAGACTTTGTTTCATTGTGTTCCTTTTTTTATTTCTACTGCAGATTATTTTATGATTAATATCGATCTGTTTCTGCAGCTACTCTGGATTCCCTGTGCTGAGATCTGAGTTTTTGGAGCCTCTAGAAGAACCAAATGCGTTGTCAGCAGGCACCGCATCACGCCACAGCATCCCAGCCAGTCCTACAGCCATCTTTAGACGCTCCAAACAGGTTAGACATAGAATACGTGATTTGCTTGACTTATTTTGTTTCATGTTTTTTAAATGTAAAAGATTGTCTCCAGGATTGCCTCACTTGCCTTCATCTATTGACAAAGTTATAAATATAAAACCAAGACTAAACTTTGAATGCTAAAAGACTATAAATGTATAACTTCGCAGGAGATCAAGTCAGCGCAGAAGATGGCCAAAACACACTCATCTGTGCCGCAGATGTGGTCAAAGTGTTTGCTGCGCCACTGTTACGGCTTGTGGTTTATTTGCCTGCCAGGATTTGTGGGAAACTGCCACTCCAAGGTGCGAGCCCTGCGCACTGCTTATGATGTGTTAAGGAAGATGCAAGACAAGAAGCTGCAGGCTCCTGACGAGGTATGGATCCACTTTATAAAGAAATAACGAAGATGATATATTTTAGTTCCAATCGTTGAGTCAAGTTTCTGGTATGTTTTTAGCAGAGCTCTTTTTGTCTTGTGTTCCAGGTGTGCTACCGTGTGTTACTGCAGTTGTGTGGTCAGTACAGCCAGCCAGTGTTGGCTGTCAGGGTGCTGTTTGAGATGAAGAAGGCGGGAGTTCAGCCCAATGCTATAACTTACGGATATTATAACAAGGTGCAAACTTTTGTTATAAACACAAATGTATGAAATTTATCTGTTTAGTTATAACTGGAGAGTTTATGCTATTGTATTGTTTTGCTTTCAAAGGCTGTGTTAGAGAGTACCTGGCCCTCCACCACCAGAGGAGGCTATTTTCTGTGGGGGAAATTGAGGAACGTGATTCTCGGTGTGCTTCAGTTCAAGCAAGCTGGAAAAAAACAACCGATTCCAAACAAAGACCCTCAGCTTTCAGGTGAGAACACTGAACAAACCTTCTTGGTTAAAGTGTAGATGACCTGTACTTGAATAGCACTTATTCTAGTCAGTAGACTTGGCCAAAGAGCTGTACATTATATTCAGTCATTCACTCACATACTGATGGTGGTCAGCTACGTTACAGCCACAGCTGCCCTGGGGCTCACTGACACAAGCAAGGCTGCTGCACACAGGGGCTCTGAGAACCATCAGTAGGCAATGCAGGTGAAGTGTCTTGCCCAAGCCAGGGCTTCAACCAACAACCCTTTTGTTGCAGGGCAAACCCCTGCATCCAACAATTAAAATTTTGTTTGTTTGTTTTTTTTTTTTTCTTTTTTTTTTTTTCTTCTGAATATCAGAATGATTAGCAACCCTGATTTCAAAATGTATGTCATCCAGTGACCTGTGGCTGTTTTTAATTGTCCTGCATAAATATCATGAATTTACATGCATCACACTTTCTTCTCTAATAAGATTTTTTTCATGCATATTAGAAGGTTAAATTGTCAATCATGGTACAGTTTCTTGAAAGTGACATATTTTGTCCAAACCAGAGTTTAAGCATGGAAATCTTTTTTGTTTTTGTTTTATTTTATGTTTGATCAATCCAATTCTACAAATAAAGCTGCAGTGTTAAACACACTCATGTCTTTCTTCTGCTCATGAGGTTTTCAGGTAGCACAGGTTGTTGAGGGGCTTGGCACTTAGCCATGGACAGACAGATACTAAAGGACAAGTTATTATCCTGCTTCATGAACTCTGTGCTTTGCTTTAAACACCTTAACATTGATTCATAGAATTTCAGCTCCTCTCTTTATAGCTCTCACCCACATTGGCAACCTTGAGGACACAGTAAACAAAGTGGGTCGCATGACTAATCAATAAGTTGCAATTGGCAGAAAAGTCCTTCTTTTATTGAGAGTAGTACTGCAAATGGGGAAAAAACACATCTTAGATGAAAAACAAATTAACTAGTTTCACAAAAATATATCACAGTCTATAAAGGCACTTATGCAACATATGCACGAAATAAAGGAAGTAAAATTGAAAAAAGAAAGAAAATGCGGTTGCAAGATTTGCTTGTGCTCCTCCTGACAACAGCAGCACACCAACAACAGATATTAGAAGCAGAGTTAAAAAGGGCACTGCTTAATTTTAATATTAATTATTCTTTCTAAGGCATGCTCATCAGCCTGTTGTTTGACTCAGTCACACAGGTCAGGGCCAAACTGCAATGAGCAATCAGGTCTGCAGAAATGATCATCAGTGCAGACTATTCATTCAGCAGAGCTTGTTTTTTATTCCACTTTGGTGCTTTAGAGCACCACTATTTACAGGCTTTCTCAATAGTGACAATCACCTCACAAAGTTAACCTGTATGGAGTTTATTAATTCAAATGTAGTGTCTGTACACTGAGCATCTGAAACCAAAGTCAGACCGGATGTTTATGGACATAGATTTGCAAATAAAGCTGCATAATGATACCTTAATTGGAAGCCAATGTTGAAATTACTATTTTAAATCACAAAAATCTTTATGACAGTTAGATCTTAAGTATCCCTTATGTTCAGTTTGAATAGCAATAAAAGGAAGAACTAAATGTAGTTTTAAACAACAATACTAGTGTATAAAGATTTGTGTTTGTATTTGGGAAATAATGATTTATTTCTTTTTTTTTTTACCCAAGAATCTGTGGCTCCAAATAAATACATTTCACTGAGATACTAAGGGAGCACTTGATTTTCAACCCTTGCAACATTTTTCCCAGCCTCAACCTCCTCTGGCACACATTGTTCCCTGCCTGCCTTTCCCTAATGACACTATAATGTGCTCAGCATTTAATGGAGTAAAAGGTTTTCCTCCCGATCTCTCTTACTGCTCAGGTTTCTCATGCTGACATATTCTCTAATTCCCCAAACCATGGACCATCTCATTACTGTAATGAATGCTGTGTGGGGGTTCTAATGAAAACACCATTCTTTACTCTGTTAATGGCGCCGCTGCAGCTGTGGATGTCCTGTTTATCTGAATTTGATTAACGTAATGGAAACAGTTTCACGCTAAACTGCAATATGTCAAACTTACAGTCAGAGAAATGCAAAACGTTAAATAACATTTAATTGCGTCATTCTGTGGAGCCACAGATGATACAGAAATCTGTTTGTTTTGATTCAGCCATGATGAGGTTTCTGTGGCTTTCAGCCGATGATCGTTTTTTCTTGGTCCAGTGATTCTTACGTGAGCTGGGCTATTGGATTTCTGTCATGTTTTTTAAGCTTCTCACTCCTTCCCTTCCCTCTCGTCTCTCTGCAGACGGCAGTGATCTCGACACAGTCAGCCATGGCAGTTTAGACAGCACTAATGACTCTGCAGAACGCACCTCCATCGATACCGACTTCACTAAAATGGATTCTAGTGATGATGGATTGAGTACAGGTAAGAAGATGCAGGGCTACTCCATCATAGGGTTTTTTGTCTAAAGCTTTAATCCCTCTCTCTAAAACCCCATCTGATTTGGATGTAATTTAGTTTTCACGTTAAAAGCTCATCAATCATGTGGTTTGAAAACTTTTAACCTGTTCAAATCACAGTGTGCATCAATAATCCATCATTATATTTGAATAAATTGCACCATTATTTTCCAAGCTACTTTCTGCTGATCATTTGACACTCAGAAAAATGACGTTGCTACAAATTTTGTTATACTTTTATTCATGCACTGAAAATATGCAGTTACAATTACTGTAGCATCTATAGATCTATATTATTGTTTTAAAATAATAAAATTTTATAATAATATTTTTACCTTTTATATATCTTTCCTCCTCAACATTTGAATAAAACTAACTCATTAAAAAAAGTGAAGGAAATCTATTTAGTCTTTTGTTTTTCCCCTTCATGCTGACCTTGTAAGTGTGGTGCAAGTTTTAAAAGACTATTCCCTTTTTGCTTCTCTTGCTTTTCTATTCTGGGGGTGCTGTGCTGTAAGCTTGGGGCAATGTCAGTACTTGCTTTTGAAGAGAACTCCTGTGATCATTTTTCTCTTTATAAGCATCCTTAAACATAGTTGGATGATTCAATGCACGGAGCTTGTTCTAAAAGAAAGAAACTGTAAGAAAAATTACATAAGCCAGAATGACTTTAGGGATTAAAGCATGCTCTTTTCTTTAGGTGGACAGTCTGATCAAGGCTACGATTCCTTGTCGAAAGAGGAGGAGAGGCTGTGCAACCGAGAGAGTGATAACTCTGCACCAGTAGAAGAAAAAGGACCAAAGCAGCCCAGTGAGTATAGGGGAGGATGATACCTCAGGTCTTTCCCACTTCGTAATCTGTTCTAGAGAAATGAGTCATGGCGAACAGGAAAATGAGTACTTTGTCTTTAAAAGCAGGGGAATGAAATCATAGTGTGGGTGTAATGTTCTCTCCTCCATCCATTTGCTGTTATATCTCGATGTTTTTCTTCTTTAATAGTCTTTAGATATGGGTGGTGTTATGTAAGCTGGTGACTTGTGTAAGAGGAAAACTGTCCCAGTGTTGTTTGGTAGTCCTCATTAATCATTCAGACTTTTTATCAGAGGAATTTTTCCTTCTCACTTAAGTAACCATACATTACAGAAACCCTGATAATTTAAAGTAAATTGTATAACCATCGCTATTTTCTTTTAAAACAAAAATTGATTAATTAAAATTTGTGCAATAGCCTTTGATAATACAGATTTAAATTCTGCAAAATGATTGCATCTCATCTTTAGCATGCTCATGTAAGACAACATCGTCCTCCATCAACAAAGGAAAACTAACCGAGTCTTTTTCTTAGTCCCCAAGGAAAATTCATCTCTGCAACAAATTGGATGAATTTGCAATTTGGTAAATTATTTTTGTTTGAATTGCAACTGAAACATTAAATGTTTTTTTCTTTGCAGCTAGGACAGTGCTGAGGATTCTCAGAAAGATGGCTGTTATTCATTGCACAATTTTTTCAGATGTATTCCCTATTAAATATCACTAGATCATGACAACAAACACACAAGGAGATCTACAGAATATCAATGTTTTGCAAGAAATGGCATTATGATGTTTTACCAAATGTTTAGAACTACATTTAGCCATAACGATCCAATTGTTCTCGGCACATGGAGGTTTTTCTTGGAAATTTGCCTCTTTAGAAGATCTTAGATGCATATGAGAACACGTTCAGGTAGAAGTGCTACTTCAGTGCAGGGAAATTCTGCTGTACACATCTATTCGGTCTGTGCACTTCTGGACAATTGTGCGCTAAACAGATGGGTTCAATCTAATGCTCTTAAGCATAATGGATCTGAGGGTTATCAGTGGGATCATTAATCACTTTTAAAATCTAACAGTTTGATGATACAGAGAAACCCTGTTTTTGAGGATTGCATTGATGGTTTTATGTCTGTTGCACTGTCAGTAATCTGTTATAACAAAAATACTTGAAATTTGAAAGAAGATTTCTCTTTTTATCATCTTTCATTTATCCATTTAGCTAATTCTGGGCAAGGCTAAATATGAGCAAACAGGGGTGTTGTTTGTACATGACTATTTCCATCCCCACTGCTTGAACTTAAATCACAAAATGCTTCTTTTATAGAATATTCTTCTTATCAGAGAAATTTCTTCATATAATCTGAAGCATGCTTATGCAGCCTCTCATTGACCTAAATGTTTTAAAACTTATGTTTTTTTGTTTTTTTCCATAACAGACGGTGGCACCAGGGTTGTTTCCAGGTCAAATGAAACGCTGCCTTTTCCAGTGTTACCAAAGAAAGAAAGGCCCAAATCTCTGGACTTGTCTGGTGGACAAGGGTTAGTGATGCTCAGCATCCCTGTTCTTGGCTCAACCAAGCTGCATCATCTAGCTGCTGACAGACTACACGGCGTTGAAGAAGAGAATACAGCCACTGACAAGCAACAATCTGCCAGAAAGAGACAGACGGATATAGAGCCTTTGTCAGAGATGGGGACAGCAGGAACAGAGCAGCAGTGTGACCCCAGCAAGCCCAGAACACCCCCTGCTGAAGAGACTGAAATGCTCATAAATAACAGCATCAGCCCTTTGAACAGCCGCTCACCCAGTATGGAACTGCAGAACTCCTCAAGCCCGCTGTTTCGCTCCATCTCACCAGCTCACACCTCCCCTCAGTCCTCCACGCTCACCCGCTCCAACACACACCTCTCACTCCCTGTGAGGTCCAAGGAAAGGCTGAAGCCGTCGCCATCTCTTCCTCTGGGCATGTGTAACAAAGATAGACCTTCTTCCTTAGCTTTACCACCCTCACCTAGTCCCTCCAACTCGTCGTTCTCCATGGACTCGCTGTTGACTCCAACTCTGGATATCTTCAAGAGTAGCTTCATATCAGCAGGAAAGGGTGTAGCTGAGAAGGCCAGTCGCCTCTACTCTCGTTTGTCCTCACAAACATCATTAACACAGGTAGCAATTTACAACAACCATGTGTAACACCATGCTGATAGCCGATATCTGAGATTGTTTTTGGTGACCAATTTGACAAGATTTTGTTTTCTTTTTTTTCTGCAGGATGGGAACAGTGATCGTATGAGTGTTTCCTCGCTGACCTCAGCTGAGCTAGAATGCTCTTCTTTGCTGGATAATGACTCCTGCCTGGATCCTCACGGCTTTACTTCACCTCAACATGGGAGCATGACACGGGTCAGGAGAAGCCCTGCTGCAGGTCACCAAAACAACCTAAGCAGCCCCAGCAGCCCCAACAGAGTGTTCAGACATAACTCCTTCTCCGGTTGGTTGAACATTGTATTATCTTTCTGCGCAGTCTGTACTGTTGCCATCAAGTGCTTAGATATGTTGAAAATGTATTCATCAGCATTGTTCTTTTTATTAAAACAAAAATGCATCTAAATCTGACCTCCAACTGGTAGAAAGGTATTGGCATTGGTAAGATTTGAGTGCTGTTCTATTGAAAACTAGGCCAACAGGCAGGAGGTTGGATCCAGTGCGGAGGCTTTTTGGCAACTAGCTGCAGGCTCCTAAGCTAGACACGTGAATATACATTCACATGCACACACCAAATCGTGAGACAGGCATTTACTTAACCTGGACCAGAAAAACAAAAAACTGATCCATTCTTGACCTAAATGGAAAGTTCAAGCCTCAATAAATGCACCACAATGTTTCACATATGATGTGAATGAAAGAAAATTCTCAAATATAAGTTATTTTAGTAGGATGGACAGGTTAAGCTGTAGCTAGAATCCATCTTTTTAAGGTTTCTAGTCTTGTTATTGGTCCAGCTGCAGCGTCTGGTTGTTGCTCTGCTTTGTTTGTCCTCTGGAATGAAGAACAAGAGGTGTGCTGATGTGCTACTGATGCTACTTTAAATATTTAAGACCCAAGATTAGCTCAAATTCAATATTTATTTATCTAGTTTCTATAAAAACATTATTTTGGGGGGCTGGCATGGTGGAATGGGTACTTGCACAAATCAGGAGTCATTAGAAAAACTGATCCACTGAAAGCACCAATATTACTTTATCATTTTATCATATTACCATTTCTTAATGAATCTTGTGAAAGAGATCTATGCAAGTATAATCAGGTCATTGCATGGTACAAAGTGGGAGTCTCTGACCAAATCTGAAGCTCCTTTCAGTCTTTCCTGTGCTTCATTTTCTGAAACTGTGTCAAATGGCTGGTGGCTACTTGGTAGAAGCTGCTCAACTTCTATATATCAATCCAAAAGTTAGGATAAATAAGTCATAATAAATAAATAATGTATAAATAAATAACAGCATTTTAGAGAATATGACAGCTTGTTAAACCAAAGTTCAATTTTTACTTAAAAGTGTTTTTCATTGTCTCTAGGTGGTTTAGCACTTCTTTCTAAAGGTCCACGCACTCCAGATTCTTCTCCTGATGTGGGTCGCTTCCAGCCCAGTCCTAATTACACCATGGAGGTATGATACTTACAGATCCTAAACTTCATGACATTTCTCAGGCGGATTTGATTTGTAATTTCTGCCTCCTCCTGATAATGAATTTTCCTAGGTGCTGATGTCGAGCTGTTCACTTTGTAAGACATGTGACTGTCTGGTGTATGATGAAGAGATCATGTCAGGCTGGACAGCAGATGACTCAAACCTCAACAGCACCTGTCCCTTCTGTGGCACTGCCTTCCTGCCTTTCCTTAATATAATAATCCAAGATCTTAGACCACAAAATAGGTAACATATTTTCAGTGCTATGAATTTCTTTTTCTTTTTTTTTCATCATAAAAAGCCCCAGCTGTGAATTAAAGGGCCGTTTAACCCCATGACCTTTTAAACGGATTCATTCCAGGTCATCTAAGTGGAGTAATCCTGTTAAAGAGGAGGACACGTCTGCGCCGCTCAGCCCTGAGGCTAAAATGTCTGAGGCAGCTCAGCCATCTGCAGCTCCTGCACTGGAGCAGGAGAGCAGCTGGAGTGTTCACAATGACACGCCAGTCTTGGCACGAGAATCAGCTCCTGATCCGGTGACAGTGCCATACCTGAGCCCCCTGGTTCTCTGGAAGGAGCTGGAGAGCCTGCTGGTGAACGAGGGAGAACAGGCCATCTCCTCCCCAAGCATTGTCGACCAACATCCCATCGTCTTCTGGAACCTTGTGTGGTACTTCAAACGGTTGGAGCTACCGAGTAACCTGCCGGCTCTTATTCTGGCCTCCCAACAGCACAGCCATGATGACCAGGTAGATATCAGTGCAGGTCTGGCAGCTATAGCCAATTCTTATATTGATACAGTATCTCTTTAACAATTGGAAGTGCTGTTTTAATGCTACACCTGCCAGCACTTGTAAAGCTAAACAAAAATGTGTTAAAGGTATAGAGTATAAACCTTTGCTGTTCCTTAAGAATATAAAGAGAATAACGTCTACATGACCAAATTTAATGGTTGTGTTTGGCGCCTTCTAGTGTTAGTTAGAGGCAAATATTGGTCAAAACAATGTGAAATGAGAAGCCAGCTCTGGGCCCTTTTGCTAACACCTACCACCATTTTGTACTCAAACATCACCATTTTGTCTCTTTCTGCTTACATTTCCTAACTAACTTCAAATGAACCCTTTTAAACCCATGAGTTAAATTCATCACCTATGACTATTTTTTATTATAGGTATCTTAATTGAATTGTGAAGATCTCAAACTTAAATTTATTCACACTATTTCTTTTTTATTATAGGTATTTTTATTGAATTATGGAGATCTCGTGCATAAATGTATTCACCTTTTTACTTTTGTCTTCTTATGATCACAAACTGAGCCACAGGACCTTCATTAAATATCATATTAGAGAGTTTACATCAATTTAAAATAACTAAGTGACCACTGTATTTTCTTATAGTAGACTTTGAATCATTAATTAAAAATCCACATTAATCTACATAAGATAAGATTAGAATTAGCCCATAGTTAATATAGCCTCTCCCAAGATACAAAAGCTGTGCAGGAAAGAACTAAAAATGCAATATGATGAAGTCTAAAATAGCCGACACACTTTAATATATTTAAACTCCACACATAAGATCCAACACCAAAACTATTAATCTTACACTTTGCTTCCCTCTAGACTCCCCAGACTGCTGCATCCGAGGACGGCAAGCAGGTGTTGGTGAGGATTATGTGGGACAACTTGAAGCTGCACAAAGATAGAGTTCAACCATGCTACGTTTTGTGGAATACACACTGTAAGTCGATTTCTGCATATCTCTGTTACTCTGTATTACAATGCAAATGTCCAAATGTCCACTAATATCACAAATAAGTTTTGCTTTAAACAACATTTTGATGCATCCAAATAAAGTTGTCTGTGGTAAATCTGGGGCTTCATAAATAATTTAACTCATGACTCCTGCTAGTTCCACAGGCTTTGTCATTGCTGTCACATTTGACTTTGAGTGCTGGAGATGAATGATCCTTTGATCGAGCTGATGTTTAGTTGCTTCTGTTTTTGCAGGTGCCAACTCTTTGATCCGATCTGGGCTTTGTGAAGAAGGGCAGCTCTTCACCGTGGAACTGCTGCAGGGCTTTGTGAGGAGCATCAAGAAGAGCGATGTCTATCAGCCCATGAGCCAGATCATCCAGCTGCTGGGTCCTGAGTTGGGCTTCAAAAGACAGAGGTAGGAATGAAAGATGTTTTTTGTTGTTATAAACTGCCTTGAGAGGATGAATTTGGATGGAAAGTCTGAGAGTTTTTCTCTTCTCTACCTCAAAAGGAGCCTCTACAGGGATTTACTGTTTTTAACTCTGGTGGCTTTGGGGAAGAGCAACATTAACATCAGTAAGTCCACTCCTTTAATTCTTATTAGCACCACAAAAACCTTACATTTTTAGTTTAGTGAGCAGAAGCTTCAGGTTTTGATCTACAGTTAATTTTATATGTGTTCAAACTGCTTTAAATATTTCAGTTTATCACAGTAAAACTACTAACATCAGTTCCTATTATTTGAGATTTGTATGTTTATTCCAATAGAATACTTTTTCTTATATGGTTGTAACTGGATATTACCCAACACAAGTATTCTAAGGCTGTTGCCAAATATTTTAGCATCAGTTTAACAGATTTCCAATAAGAGCTGCAGAATGTTTGGCGCCAAGTGTTGAAGCCAATATTGCTTTTTCTTCCTCAATTTGAATCATTTAAACAACAAAATGACCACAACTGTTACACTGGTGTCAATTTTAACAACAACAAAAAAACTTCTATTAACAGATAAAACAAAATATTAACCATAGATGTTAAGTGGAAGGGGCACAAAAGCAAGCTTTTCAAGTCATCTCAAAGCGTAGTTTCAGAATAAAATAATGAACCGGCAAACACATGCATGTATCGGCCATTGTAGGGAAAAAAAAAAACAATATTAACCCAAATCAGTCAGCCGTTGTATTATCCTATCTCAAATGTTAACATGACAAAATGTAATTGCTAGGCTGCCTACATAACTTAAATTGTTGTGGTATTACGCATAGCTTTATTTTGTTTTGCATCTTGCAAGGTGAGTTATAAAGTTTCTTACATCGTCAGATAAAATGTTTTTGTTTTCTCTTTCCAGATGCGTTTGACCGTGAGTACAAGTTGGCCTATGATCGCCTCACCCCCAACCAAGTTAAACTGACCCACAACTGTGACAGGCCCCCTGGCGCTGGGGTCATGGAGTGCAGGAGGACATTTGGAGAGCCCACTTTGTAAAAATTGTCATATATATATTATGAATTCTACCACAATCACTGCTGCTGTTTTGTTGGACCGCTCTTCACACTCAGGACCAGCTCACCTGACTTGAGGATGGAGCTCTTAGTAAGCACAATGGAATAATCACCCCTTGATGCAAAGCAACTGCCATGAGTTTCTTGTTCTCTTAGAGCTGAGAGGTATGAAGGCCTTGAGTTTGTAAGTATTTAGAGGAAATCCACCTTATTTTGAATATTAACATGTTTGTACAGTTGTTACACAGATTCTTTTTGGCTTTATTCACGTTAAAACTGAATAAGTAGGTAAATGTGAGCATTAGGTTACATTGTGAAATGGTTCTCAGTGGTCCTGGTGACCCTATTTGGACTGTTGTTGCTTTTAGATGTTCATCATTTTACAAAGCACTTTGGCAGGATGCACTGGGTTGTCTTTGTTATATAACTCAGCATTCCTGCAGCCAAAGCTATAAAGTTGCACTTCATTTAGCATTAGCAGGAGCTGCCGTACTGACATTTCATTTGGATTCATTTAATAAAACTAAATATATCTCTGCTAACATGCATTCTGTAAAACTGTCATTGTCAAGCTCATTTATCTAGTTACATAAACCAGATGATAATACCAATGCTAGCTTGGAAACAAGGTAAAAATGAACTAACACATATCTAGAGTCTTTGTTCTGAGACTTATTAGGGAATATTATCTGTTGGTTTCCAAGCCAGTGTGTAGTATCTGACCTTAAAAAGGAGATGTGCTTTTAAACTGTGTAATCAAACTAAAAGTGGAGAATTTTATTATTTTCTTTAACAATGTTTTTTTTCTACAGAGGCTTTATCAGACGCAGTTCTAGATACCTGTAAATATACAGAACGTTTGTATTTTGTATGCTTTGTTTCTGTTGTTTTGGATACTTGGGCAGCTGTGCACTGTTTATTGTGAAGTACAGATAAAAAAAAAAGGTTTTAAACCTCTACAACTTTGAACATGATGCCAGCAAAAGATTTTTTGCACTGCAGTCAACACCTAAAATTTACAGCATACAGCTCTGATCTGCCTTGTCTCCATCTTATTTTAATTTGAAGCGCAGAACTTCCGCCTTTTTAAAGGGTGTTAAAATGGAAGCTGAGAAAAAAAGAAAAAGAAAAAATAAACATAGACTTTTTATTTAGCTTTGCAATCACGTCTGATGATACTATGCTGGATGGACCGAGGCTTCGTGCTTGGATCAAACACCAAACTCACAGCGTGTATATCTGCATTATGACCACCTCGTAAGTGTCTGAAAACCAATGATGACCAAAATGTAATGTTATGTCTTATGTGTTGTTTACACTAACTGTGAATTTTAACAATGTTTCTGAATTATTATTTATTGTTTGTAACACAACTACTAATTTGTATGGTTTTTACATATATAAAAGAAATTCTTCCCTGAGCAGATGTATACTTTGTCTTCATTTATGAATAAACACCTTAACCAAGTGGGTTTCAGGTTTCCTTATTCCTCAAACGAAGCTGATTAAAAAATAAAAATAAACCTTCACACTAGTCATTTCGTAAAGCAGAACTTGTTTTAAGTATTGCTTATATCACAGATCCAACTGTTTACTATTTTTTTAAATTAGAAAACATATGTGTGTATGTGTATTAATTAACAGCCCATGGTTATTGAAACCCTGGTTAATATTTTAAAGGCCCCTTTTTGGCCTAGAGGAAAACGCTTAGTTTTCTGTAATATTTAACAAGGTTAGAAATGAGTCATCTGCAATGATCTCACAAAAGTTCCTGGTTACCATCCTGAGAGGTAAACAATGTGTAACTATGGAAACACAGGCAGAGGTATCACAAACAAGCAAACACTAAAAGCACAGATGGAATGAGACATTTTATAATTTTGTTGTCACAATAAGTGTGGATCAGACGCTGCACCACAAAGATGCTCTGGGAGTCTTAAAATAACATCATAATCCTAAATATTTTTCTTTAAATTTGAATAGGGAACTGAATTAGAAGAATAATAAATGAGGCTACATTCATGGTTTGAAGCAAAATATGTTCATGATAATAAAAGCAGCTTCATTAATGTATTATATTTCAAAGCACTATTTTTTTTTTACAAGTATTCAGTGCAGTATCATGAAAGCCCTGCTGGGGGCGTTTAGATAACTATCTGTTATCTCCCTGAGTGCATCTTGTTGGTTGGACTGCATCAATGATATTTCAAATCACAACTAAAGACTTATTTGTTTAAGATTGCTTATTCTGTTTAATATCAGTTTCCCTGTCTCATCTTTTGAATATTTTTAAAATGTTTGTTATTCTTTTTTCTAAACTTTGTTTCTGCTATTGTGTTTTTATCTTTTGTATGGCGACCTTGAGTTTCCAGACAGGCGCCTTTTAAATAAAATGTATTATTATTATTATTATTACTGGGGTGTCATTTACTGTATGTTTACTTATAGAAACATCTGGGTTTTGTGCAAAATCCACTCCCCAAACCTTCTTACTCCTTGAGCTGATGACTTTATAGCTATTTTATTGTGAAGGACTCTGAGATGTATAAATCTATGAAAAGTCCTTTATAAATAAAATCAATTTACTTTGTGTTTATTAGATTCAAAACAATTTTGCATTCATCAGTTTCACTTGACACAACATACAGATATTGGTTTAATATATGAAAAAACTTTTATTATTGCATGTCCTCTTCCTTTATTCATAACCAGTGTTGAACTAGAAAATAAGGGGAATACTCCAACAAATAGCAAAAATAACTTTAACAACTTTATTAAAAAGCAGATAATTAACTTGCCATGTAGATACAACCATGTATTATCACACCACATAATCCATACAGTTTAAAACGAGTGCTTCAGACTGTGTGCAATGAATGTAGTGTAAAGGGCATTGGGGTCTTCAGACATGATAAAGCGCTATATAAGTACAGATAATTTACCATTTTGTCATTTATAAAACCTTGATTCCTCTTCGCTACCAAAGTCAGTGCTTCCACAAAATCAAGATCTAAAGAGCTCTCTATGCATTTTAGAAAAAAACAAGGGTAAGGATGGCTAAACTCTGACAATTTCACAAAAAAACTTAAGATTATTATATATATTGGCTCACACCTAAAATTTCACCAAAAGAAACAGTCCTCCTTTGGAAGAGCCCTGAGATGAAATCACATGTTCTTTAAAACATATTCAAAGTCCAAAGGAAAGTCTTTGAAAATGGAAAAACTGGGACAGAGCTGTAAAGGTATTTTTAAACTAATGCCGTACTTTTACAGTTGTTAAAAGTATATCAAAGTATATCAATTCCAAAATTAGTTTCCTTGAGTTTTAATTTGCTTTTTTTAAAAGGAAGTTTTAATTTGTGTTTGCTTTGTCTTAAGAGCAATATTTACTTCCCCCCTCGATGGGAAAGTGTTTGTTGTGAGAAAGGCTTGTGTTTGCAGTCTCAGATGGAAACAGGGCAGATGATGATCCGATCTTCCAGCATAACACTCAACACCAGGAAGATAAAGTAGAGGAGAAACATGGTGAAACCCAGCACCTTATTCATCTTCCATTTACAGGCTGCGATGGAGATGATGACAAAGAGGAGCATGAGGAAAAGCAGCACGATGGCACAGAAAAGCCCGTTGCTGCTGACAGCCACTGGAGCTAAGCCATGGATGAAAGAGTACATGAGCCATGGGATGGGTAGGCTGGTGGAAAAAAAAATATGTAAAGAAAATCCCTTTATGGCGGTGATCAGTAGATTTTTTTTATAATCCTGATCGATTAAACTATGAAACCTTACCCCATAGTGATGTCAAAGATGTTACTGCCTACAGAGCTGGACACTGCCATGTCTCCTAGGCCTTTACGGGCCACAATCACACTAGTGATGAGGTCTGGGATGGAGGTTCCTGCTGCCAGGATTGTCAGGCCCATAATCTCCTCGGAGATGCCGATGGTTTCTCCCACCTTAGAGACAAATCAGAGTTCCACAGAAAGAAGGAACACACTGCAAAAATGTCTTCAATTAAGTGTATTTAGCCTCAATTTGAGTAGGTAAATAAGAGGATTTGCCAATGGAAAGAGTATTTTTACTCTTAAAATTAGATAATATGCACTTGAAATAAGACAACGCAATATTTTTTTTTATTTCAAATGTAAATTATCTTGTTCCATTGTTCCATTAACTTCTCAATTCCCGAGAAAATGCACTTATTCTAAGAAAAAATGACTTATTGATACAAAAATTTTTTATAGTGCATAAAAGGAAGTGGAATTTGATTTCTCACATCAGCAACAGCTACTTTTCTAATACTAAAGCACTGCAATAACTGACCTGATGGGCCCACCACACCATGAGGTAGGAGAAGATAGCAATCCACATAATGGAGCCCAGAAAGGTGAATACAAAGAATTTTCTGGATTTCTGGTGATTAAAGTAAGTAATGTAAAGGCAAATTTATATACGATTGCATCATACCACAGCAGCACTCTGACATGTCTCTTCTTTATGTCTCTAACCTGGTTCCGAACATCAGGAACTGTGAGCCACAGAGGGAAGACTATGGGCAACAAGAAGAGGTAGGTGGCTTGTTTTCGAGGTGTGTCAGGCCACTGTAAAGACAGAGGGTCATCTTCTTTTTCCCCCTCTTCCTCCTCTTTATCCTCCTCCTTGTCCTCCTCTTCACTAGACTCATCGCTCTCCTCTTCGCTGTCATCTTCCTCGCTGTCATCTTCCTCACTGTCAGAATTGTCTGAGTCTTCGGATCCACCTTGTTCTGCTGGCACGTCATCCTGCAGATTTGAGAACGTGATGGAGCCGGTATATGACACAAAGAAAAACATTTGTTTGCCAAAAGATGACCTGAAACGAATAGTGATACCCCTGTACTTCGACTCTTACATAGACAGGTATCAAAGACTGACTTCTGGGTTTTTTGAAAGCCAGCAGGTCATGGGTGGGGAGTACCTTCTTTTCTTCTGGCTGCTCCTTCTTTTCCGCATCTTTGGCTGGGGCAGCCTCTGGCTCTTTGGTCTCTTCAATTGTCCCACCTTTAGCTGTGAAGGATATCACAAACAAGCATTTTAGACAGAAGATCCTGTGTAGAAATTTAGTGGGCAAGGAATCTGATGAAGACAGAATGTTAGCAAACACAAGCTTCAAACAATTTTTGCATAAATATATCATTTTTACAGTAATGAAGGGAACACTGATGGCTTTTCTGACAAGAAATATTGGGAAGATCTAATGTATTTTTGCATTTTAATCCATCTAGCAGTTTGTGCCTTAAAGCATTGATAAGCAAAATTTGAATAAGAGTATCAAACATTATTGCTATGAGCATAAACACCTAAGACTTGACCTTTTAGATATTTTCAGCTGTCTCCCACAATTACCCTGGGGAAAATCCCTGCTGACTCCTCTATTTCATGCTAACATCCTCCGATCTTTCAAATATCAGTATTTCATAATCAGATCCTTCCTGTTCCTGTTACCTTCACTTTTGTCTTGGGGTTTGGACACTGACTTCCGTCTAGCCACATTGTTCAGCGTCTCAACCTTATCCTTAAATTTTCCTTTAAAACAAGCACAAATAAACAGTTGGAATGCATTAATAAGTCATGAGATATATAAATACTTTTACAGTTATTTATAAAAACACATATTTAGTCTTGTGGGAGCTAATGAAAGAGGCAGTGCAGGCCCCAAAAACCCTGCAGTTGTAAAAATGTTTTTCATAAAGGAGGAGATTGAATAATTGACTCATCTGGAAACAAGTGAATTAATCTTCATCGCTAAGAGTTCTTCCATTCTGGGAGAAAGGAGCAGATAGGCTAGAGATATTTTTTCAGATTTCAAATGTGTGACAAGATGTCTCCAAGAACAAGAAGTAAGAGAATGCAGCTGTGATTCAGATTGTGAAGACTCATTCAAAGGTAATAATTGTTCTTCTGGAGTCATGGATCATTTCCTGCTCTAGAGATAGAGCACTCTGGTGTGACTCCCATAAAACGACTGATGATAGACAGTACAAACTTCGCTTTTTACTTAAGTTGAAAATGTTTGCTATCAGCTTTGCACATCTTGTTTTTTCACACTCTGCTCCAATATATATATCAAGCTCAGTCTGACCGGATGGGAAAAGTCTGTGAATATTATGTTCAAATCTTGTCACAGATTTCCAAACGGTTTTGTTTTCATATTTAGATCAATTATCCAAACACCTGAATATGATTTGATCTAAAATAATGCCTTATAGTTCTGGTTCTATGATTGTTTGGGGTCTTTGCCCTTCTAAAAAAATGACCTTAGATTCATTTTTTCTGTTGCTAACAGGTTTTTTACCCCATACTGAGCTCCATTTATCTTCCCATAAATATTTACTATTATCCTTGAAAGCAGACCCAAAGCATGATTCAGAAATCATATTTTTTCCTGCAGGCTTTCTTCCTGTGTCCCATGATCCTTTTGAATTTGGATTAAAGGATTGAATATTTCTCAGTGGGATATTTTAAAGTTAGAAAAGTGTGTAATAAGTTAACCCTTCTTAAAGCATCTTTAGGACTTAACTGCTGAGTTGTCTGGTGTGTCCTGTTCAACTGCCCACTCAGACCTTGTATTCCTATTTCTATTTGTTTTTATACTTGCAAGTTGATGGATCATTCACTAATTAGTGAATGCATCAGCTTTTTAATCAGCATTAATAGAATTGAGACAGGTGAGTAAAATTGCAAAGTCAAATTTTCTTATTGTTGTATGTATAAAAATTTTAAAACTATGTATCTTTTTTGTTCCACTTAAAGGTATAATGGAGGATGTTCTTTTTCCAGGTGGATCATCAAAATAAGTGGTCTTCCTAATTGTCAAACATTCTGGTGATATGTTTACGTAAGGCCGTCCTATTGACTCATCCCAATTTTCCCTTACTGGTGGTGAGTCTAACATAATGGAAAAATTGAAAATCTTCCTTTGAAAACTAAGACTATATGGGCAATGCAAACAGCAACTTTTAAATAGAGCGTGCACGAGGTGAAATGGGCTTGTGCAAGCTCTCAAATGCACACAGGGTTGTGCATGTGCATTTTTTTTTTTTAAGTGGAGAGTATTTTCAAATATTTGCAAAAATCCTCCACTATACCTTCAAGTAAGATATTGTTTGCTTCTCTTACTTAAAATCCTAACAAAAATACAGAAATGGTTGAAATATAATATATAAAAAAATCAAGCTTGTCCCACTTATCACTGAGAAACTGTTCCAATATTTTTATTTATAGAGAAAGACATAATGTCAACCAATACATTATTTTACTTTATAGCATGGATCATCAATTGGCTTCTATATGCAGAAGGAGGTATTTATCTGCTTAGTATCAATCTGTAATTAGAGATGACTGCATACGGGACAGCTTGTTAATCCATTCCATGATGGGCAGAACACACCACACGGGAAGTCAGGATAAACATTGCTGTTATGCAGCTATCCATCATAAGATGCATCAGTGGCATAAATATGGTACTTACCATCTCCCAGAGGGTCTAATGTGTGAATCATGAGCTGGAAGATGGTGTTTCGCATGGTGCTGTTGTGTAAAGAAGCAGAACTTCCCCCTCGCTGAAGGGATGGCTTCAGCTAGAGAAAAAGATGGCTGAGTTCATGACAGCTACTCACTATACAGACACGGCTCATCACTGTTAGTCATTTTCAAATGGAAGTCAGGGAGCTTTTAAACAACAATAGTTCAATGATAGATCAGCAGATGCAATGAGGCTTGATAGAGGGAGAACACAAACATATAAACTCAAAATGCAAAAGAACAGTCACAACACAATCAGTACTGTGACATCTGGGAGTTAGATGTCCATCTCATGTTGGCGCTGGTCGAATGGCGTATTGTTTCTTCTTCTTTTTTTTTTATTTATTTTTTTTTTTACCTTTAACCGATTCTTGTCCTCTGGAGCAGGAGGGGCATTATCTTCACCTTCCCCATTTGTCTGCATGCAACAATGTTTTTTTTCAGTGATAATCATTCAAAGTATTTCATTGTTTCATTTTGGTAGAATTCATATATCAGTATAAGTTACAATATAATTCTATGCATTATGGTTTCACATATTGCACACACTTCTGGTCTTGCTGGTGAAAATCTACTGGATTATCAAACATATATCATGCATGCCCTGTTAGGCTCATAAATGAACCTGTCCTTGTTTTATCAATAAGTAAATTCCAGTAAATTCCACATTACAATTTAAAGTTGACACTACCTAGCAATGATAGCATATGCCATACAACCAAAGTTTTCAATAATAAGTAAGTATAATTTCAAAAATGGAATAAAAATCAGAGAATTTAAACATTCCAAGGCTTAGAAGAATGCATGTTGGTCCTATGGCTGGTACAGAGCTGCAGAGTCTAACAGGATTAGTTTGATGTGGCTGACTAACTTTGGTTTGCACAGACCAACTGTTTGCAGCACTAGTTTCAGTTTTTAAATGTTTGCATCATTAATACATGAAGAAAATCTCACAGGAAACAACAAATGCTGATACTATATATATATATATATATATATATATATATATATATNTATATATATATATATATATATATATATATATATATATGGACTGCAACATAAAAAACTTAGCATGGTTGTTAGATGATGGATTGGGTTCCGAAAAAGTTAAAAAAATTGATGGATTGGGGTTTTTCTGAGCCCCATTTATTCAGTTCATCAATTTTGAGCATAAGGTACACAGACATAATGAGTCTGGTAATGAGAGCCATAAGTGCATTACTATAAAAAATACATTTGTGATTTTTTCCTGAGATTTATTTATGTGATTACTTAATTTAGAATGTCCTACATACATATAAAAATTTAAATATATCAATAGCTATAGAAATATCCCAAGAAAGGCTAAATCATATGAATCCATGTAAAAATAATAATGTAAAACTTAAATGCATTAGATTTTAAACGGATATCTAATCGTTTGTGTATTTACTTGATTATTTTACATTTCCCATTTCATTGTTCTATCAAGAAATAATTCAAACATACACTATTGGGCGATCACACAGGCCCTAACATCTGATTGGTTAACCTGAAAACTAATTTAAATGCACAACCAATCACCCTGCCTACACCAGTGTTAATGTGGCTGACTGACTATGCTTGGCTAGAAACACAAGTGATTAAGGAGGCACTGTAAAACTGCCTAAAAAAACAATTAGATAAATATTAGAAAGAGTAAAGGATTAAAACATGTAATAAACTTAAATCCTGAATGCAAATTTCCATGTTTAATGATTGAATTATGCATTTCTTTGTTATTGAAATTAACTAAATGTATATTATTATTTATTTATTATTCAATTTAAAGTTCTTATCAAATCATTATTTTTTTAAAGAATTGAATGGAAAGAAAAAATCTGTATGTGTTGTACAGTAGCAATTTTGAAAATGTGAATAAGTTTAACCATGAATAAAATTAGAGCAAAAATTAATCAGAGTCACTGAGTTATCCAGAATATCAGAAATAAAACTGTTTCATCAAATGGCTGCTTACCTTCTCAGGTTCCTCCACAGCAATAACCTTCACAATGCTCTTGTGTTTGTGGAGCTGGGTCTTGAATTCTCGCTCTAATTGTACGTTGAATTTCATGAAGACAACATAGAGACTGTAACATGCCACCAGCATCATGCTCTCCCACCACATTATCACATTGTCCAAGAAGAAGATGATCAGTAAGATGAGGTCGAGTATGTAAAATGAGACGTCTCTGAAAAGGGGCCACCAGGTTAGGTGGAGAATCTCTCGAGAAAACAAAGCGCACATCCCAATTACGAACAAAATGTTAAAAACTGCTGAGCCGACAATTGTGCCGATTCCAATGTTGCTGTGGGCGATGAAGACTCCTATCAAGGAGGTGAATAGTTCAGGTGCAGAGCCTCCGGCAGCCATGAAGGTGGCTCCTGCTACATCATCAGAGATGGCGAGCTTGTCTGTGATTACCCCCAGTGCAGGCACAAAGAACTCATCACAGACAATCGCGAGGGAGACAAACATGTACATCATCCCTAAAATGTGAAGGATCACCCATCCTCGTCTGCGATCTTCGATAGAGAAGATATCTTCAGGGTATTCCCCTTTAACATGAGGAGCTTCACCAGGTGGAGCTGGGGAGGCGGTTGTAGTTGGTGGAGCTGGAACAGGTGTTGGTGTCACCAAAGGAGGTTCAGGGGCCACATAGATGCAATGCACAATAGTCCGGTTTGTGGTTGGTAATAGTGGAGATTCTGTGGAAGTGGGTGGCTTAGTTGCATCAGTATCTGTATTTTTAACCATACCCTTGTCAGTATGAGGAATCACATGGGTTGATGTTGTTTGATCTGTACGCTCTAATTCAGGTTCAACAGTAAAAGGTTCCTCCAACCCTCCAGTTTCTGCCGGGGCCTCCTCTACACCCTCTGTCGAACCCTCTCCAAAATCGTCTCCGATCTGAGCCACTGACATGGGTTGTTGCAGTCTGGCACTGATGGTGAGCTGATAGAGGGTGCAAAGGAAAACCCCGGAGAGGAGAAACAGAACCCGGCTCAGCTGGAGCCGCTTCCTTCTTGTACAATGCATCGTCCTCCAAAGCAGCGTCTCTGATGGCTAGGTTGAATTAAGCAGCATAAATAAGCTTTGGTAGAGTCCAGCTCTGTCCCCAGCAGACCATGGGGTAGAAGAATACAGAACTTTGATAGAGGGGTTCATGTCACATCATCGTGCTTTTGGATAACCCAACCTGTTGTAAACTGAAGAATACACCAAAGTTAAAAGTAAGCTATATCAGAGAAGCACTCCTTAAAATATTACCAGTCATTTACCGGTATGTCTAAAAATGGGATTCTTAAAGAGAGAACAATATTTCTATAGTAAAGAACAAATAAGGTTTTAATAGCTGCAGAGTAAATCAGTGTTAGCAGATACAATGATGCAATAAGGAGCTAGGGTAATTTTTTTGTCAAGATATCCATGGAGAAAAAACCCCCAAAAGGAAATAATTACACAGACTTACCTTAATTGATGTATCAAGTCAATGGCACCAAAACCCAATTAAGCTTTTCCAAACTAAATGTACACACACAGTCAACAGCTATTGCCCACTGACCAAAGGCTTATGTAGGACGCGGAGCGAGTCTTCATAATGGATCAGCATAATACCCAACACCTGAAGTCTTCTAAGAGGATTAGTTGCATTGTCTCACTCTCACTTTGCAAATGTAACCATAGCATTGATCTATATAATGTAAAGTTAAGGTTTGGCCTCAAGGTGTCATTTTACATAAGCGAAGCGCTTAAAAAATAAAGAGTTTACATCTTGAAACTTTAACCCCAAAATCTAGTAGCTTTTTTCTTTTCCAGGGTGACTTTTTATTTTAGAAAAAATAACTTTATTTAGACAGTTGTGTTTTTTAATTGTTTTGGCTCCTTGTTTAAGTTGACTTCTTATGTACAGATCTAATAAATTTATAGGCAAGATAGCAATCAATTGTTTTTTAGATTTGCCTCCTTCATCACAACAAAAAAGTACAACATATTGACAGAAACAAAACTAACGAGGAACACAGCTTAAGGGTCTTCGTGTAGAAGTAAACAGGCATTTTGTGCTGGATTTGTATTACTAGCCTTTCTTAATCTGAAATTCAGCTTTGAATTTTCCTTTTATAAGTCATGATAGTGCAGCTACAGACCATGCCCCATGTTTACTACTAAATCTGAGTGATGTCCATATGGCCTTAAAATAAGTTTGGTTGCACCAAAGCCAGACTATATTTGCAATGCTCACATAAAAGCAATTTATGACCTTATAGTTTATAGGTCATAGTCCAAGCTAAAACCCCAAAATGAAACAATTACACAGACTTACCTTAATTCTAAGGTAAGTCTGTGTAATTGTAAACTAAGATAAGTCTATTCTATTATATTCCTCTATTCTAAAATAAGATTTTTCATGGCCCATAGATAACATAAAAAAGAAGGACTTAATCTTCTTTATCTAGATACTCTGATTTTATGCAGACAAAAATAAGACTAGGGACATTTCTAAATACCTACACAGAAAGCATGGATTGGCCCATTTTAAGCCCAGCCTAGTTTCAAAGTTAACCAAAGATTATTTTTGTAACTGCACCTTGAATGATAATGAAAACAAAAATAAAATTGCATGAAACACAGAAAAGTAGAAACATATTTTAATGTTGTAGAAAAAGGCTCATTTATTTGTATATTCATAAATTCAATGAACCACCTTGGTATCAATATCTAAAGTAAAAAAAACAAAACCACACATATTCATATAAATGATATAATTGGTCTCAGTTTATGTCACAGATCAAAATATGACTTGTTTAAAAACATTCATAAAAATCTATAAGTTGTGCTGCTTAGACTTGAGTAGATATCAGTGTTGTACGCCTTATAGAGAAAAATAAGAAACATTTAAAGTAGATGTAAACAAACCCTAAATCCATCTTTTCTAAGAAAGAAAATAGATTTTTTTCAGTCTTTCTCTACTGATAAACATTTTATGCAATTTAATATATAGGCTATAAAGTCAAAAAACCGTTATGGTTTTTCATCCGACGGTGAAAAGAAAACATTAAGTAAAACAGAGCAGCAAAAAGACAGATATATATAATAATACAAATCCTTTTTATATTTCAATATACAAATTTTATTGCCATTTTAAAATCTGAAATCAATTCTCTTATTTATCCCGAAGTGTACATAACCACCTCAGATTTCAGCATGCCATTCTTTATTTAAGGAATTTAAAACCAGAAAAGTTAGTAAAAAAAAAAAATCTTGAATGAACACCTCAGGTAAAAAGCTTATGACCTCAAATGCACCTGAGTTCATTGAGTCTGAATGAATGGCATGGAACACAGTCTGAAGGTCTTGGAGGGGCCTGGTCAAAGCTTCGATCTTAATCCATCTTACATGCATTGGCTTGACCCTAAATGGGCCAAATCATTCTCCCTTACTTTCCAATGTGGCAAAAAGCATCTCTACCTAGAAGATATCCTCCACAGCCATAAAAAAGACACAATCCCAGATCCTGCAAACACCTGATAACAGTTGCCTTCAACTAGAATATTGTCACCTAGTGGGGGATTACTGTTTTCTCAAAAGGGGTCATGAAAGGTATAGTGGAGGATGTTCTTTTTCATCATCAAAATAAGTGGTCCTCCTAATTGTCAATCATTCTGGGAAAATGTTGACGTAAGGCCGTCCTATATGCTCATCCCCATTTTCTCTTACCGGTGTTGAGTCTGACATAGTGGAAAAATTGCACATCTTCTTTTGGAAAGTAAGCTTGTATGAGCGATGCAAACAGCAATTTTTAAACAGAGCGTGCACAAGAAGAAATGGGCCTGTGCACGCTCTCGTACGTGTTTAACAGGCCTTCCCTCTCGGGTGTGGGTACAGGGTTGTGTATATGCATTCTTTTTAAAAATTGGAGAGACTTAGACTGATTTATTTTGTCATTTTGTATACACAAGTGGGCGGGTCTCAAAAATCTTTCACTATACCTTTTAAAACTATAGTAATTTACAGCTAAGTTACTTACAGTGAAAACAGGAATGCATATGTTTATGTAGTGTACTCAGCATGTATACAAAGTTGTTGAGAAGTGACTTGAGTCTCAAACTGCTGTTCCAAAAAAAAAAAAAAAATCTTTATATTTCCTTCTTTTTATATCCTGGTAGATGATAGGTCAGTTATATATAGAAACGAAACACATGCATAAATAAAAATATTTCAAAGTATTTTTTTACACAGGGCACTTAATGATCCCAAACACCATCATGATGCTAATGACCACAAAAAGAACGTAGAGAAAGACTAAGATGAGACCAAGCAGTTTCCTCATCTTCCACTTACATAACATAATGGAGATGACAGTGAAGAGGAGCACGAGGAAGAGGAGGATACTGGCACAGACGAGGCCTCTGGTCTCAACAGCCACAGGGGATAAACCGTGGGTGAACGTGTAGAGGAGCAACTCTACAGCTAGACTTTTGGTTGAAATGACAAAGAGAAATTAGCATGGGGCTAATAAATCTGCCGCTGTGTTAGTTTTTCTATCGTCATTTCTAAGCCATGTCAATTTAGTTTATTAACTTACCTTATATTGATGTCGAAGATGTTGCTACCCACATTACTGGACACAACCATGTCTCCAAGGCCTTTACGTGCCACTATTACACCAGTTATGAGATCAGGGCTGGACATTGCTGCTACCAGATATGTCATAGGACCCATGGCACCAAAAGCCTCATCCATCTGTAAAACATTAAAATAGTGTTTAGTGAGATTAAGTCAAAATTTCAGGATGGGAATATATGTTACATTAAATATTTCAGTGTGAAATCTAAAACTTGTTGGAGCATTACGGATCTGTTACGGAAGCACTGACCTGGTGAGCCCACCACTTGACAAGGTAGCAGAAGACACTGATCCACACAATAGAAACTAGGTATGTCAGCACAAAGAATTTTCTGTTTTTCTATGAAACAAACACAAAAAAGTAAGTATAAAAGAAAAATTAATCTGAAACAATCTAAAATATCCATCTAGCCATACCTGGTTCCTGACATCGGGAACAGTGAGCCGCAGAGGGAGGATGATTGGCAAAAGGAAGATGTAGACGGCTTGTTTCTGCCATGTGTCAGGCCAGCACAAAGACAATGGCTTAGCGCCTTCTAGCAATTTGTTCTCAACAAACTCCTTGCAGCCACCCGTGTTTACATTACCGCCTTCATTACAGTCTCCAAGGCCTTGTGCATCATCTTCACCTGTGGGAACATACACCTGGGTGGGATTCTGTTAAAAAAATATAAAAGAAAACAAACAAAAACAGTTTTAAACAATAGTGTAACACAAAATAAAAAAAATATCATCTACTGCACTTTTGCAGTAAAATTTGTGTGAGCTTAAAGCCATGGTGTAATTAGAAATGTCTCAATCGAGATATATCTATGCTAGATGACAATTCTGTAATTCTAAAAATAGACTTTTGCTAATACTAATCCCTTCTGAGATACTTCCTCAAAGTAAAGGTTGCTTACTGTATATGTTGTAAAATACTTAATTGTAATTATCGCACATACCTATAATTATCATGATATCAACATGTACTCGTGTCAGAAGAAGTTTAGTTTTGGCATGCCACTCCAACAAGGTTTGAAGGTTAGAAAAAAATAATGCATTAGGTTAAAAATATAAAGCTGCAATCTTTTTTTTTTCTAAGAATTGATAGTGGCAACAAGCACTTACATGTTTACTCTCTGTTTTGATATGACTTGTTGATACTTTGCAACATGGTTCCTGTTAGTCATGCATGGACAAAACTCAAGACAAAAAAAAAACATATCTTCCTCAATTAATGTAGAGCTTAACTAAAAAAAAAAAATTAAAAAAATTAATTGGGTCTCAAAGGCCGCTGCAGTTATCCTAATACAACAGGTGACATGACACAGAAAACCAAAGAGAAGCAGAAGCAATGCAGTCTTTGAATGTGAATGTGATTCAAAAGGATCTGTTTAAGACAAAACAAAATTCTGTTTATGTCCCTTAATATGATTTTTCAAATTGCCCATTAGGCAGCAATTTTAAAACCTAAGTCTGCAGTAAGGCTTTTGCAAGGCCCACTAAAAATGTGACTGACCCAGCAGAACACTACCAACAGGTATGCAGGTCATGTTTTGTCCTATAACACAGATCATTAACACTGCCTTCACCTTTTTTAGTAGAGTGCTTTTGGTGGTAGAGAAACATTTCGGATCCACAGATTATCCTGACCTTCTACTTGGGCAAGACAGACTTTGTAATTCATCAGCTAGAGGAAGAAGAGGAGGCATCACATGCATTGACTAAATGCTAGAGAGAATTTGGTCAAATTACTTCATAATGGCCCTTTTTAAAATGACACAAGTTTAAATGGCGGTATTTTTGTTTTAATGAATGTCACAGAGAGAGAACACTTTTAACAATGCAGAATTCATCATACAGAATAATTTATCTGCTCTCCGCCATGTTGAAAGGTCAAAAGTTGACCTCATCTCAGCAACTAAATATATTTTTTCTAGGTTTCCAGTGGAAATTACAACATGAGTGATGGTTCATGTGCATCTTTGCTATTGTTGTTGCTGTTTACCATAAATAAGATACCACATGAAGGCAGCATTAGAATATCTTTATCTGAAAATATTCCGGTTTATTTTCACCAATTAAGGTAAAATATAGTCCTTTCAAATAACTAGAAAAAAAAGATGACTTTTCCCTAATATGCTGATGAAGGTTCTCAGTTATCCAGGTCATAGTCATTCCGTAAAAATTCTTGAAATCTTGAAAACCAAGTCCAGTGGATATTTTTTGAATTTTTTTTTAATTTTTACGGAATTTTCCCTAATATACTTCACGTCTGCTGAGTGTAAAATAGTATTGATAGTAATGGTAAAGAAATGTCAGATTAACACAGTGCTGCATGCAAGATTTATATTATATCAGATAAAAGTGCTAATTGTTTAAATCTATAAACAACTGTACTTGTCCTATGTTATCACATTCTATCTTAACATTCCCATTTTAAGAATATTTTATATTATCTAATCAAAATGTATGATAGAGCTCACCTTTTCACATCTGTTCACAAATGAAACTTTCTTCACCCTTTTGTTTTTCTGGAGTTTGGTCTTCATTATTTGCTTAGCTTGTGAATTATATTTCAGAAATATGATGTAGAGAATAGAAAAAGTCACCAGGATCACATTTTCCCACCACATGGCAGCACCGTCCAAGAAAAAAATTATCGCGAAGATGAAACCCAACATGTAGAATAATAGGTCTCTGAAAAGCGGCCAGCGGGAAAGAGGGAGAACCCTCCCAGAAAACAAAGCACATATTCCAATCACAAACAACATTCTGAAAGCTGCCGAACCAATAATTGGGTTAATGTCCACAGGAAAGGTGCAGTCATCAAATGGGATTTTGATTAGCTTGACAAACAGCCATGGAATGAATCTTCCTGCAGCCATGAAGGTGACTCCCAGAACATCATCTGAGATATCCAGCCTCTCCATGATGATCCCCAGCGAAGGAACGAAGAAATGATTGCACACAATTAAAAGTGCGACAAAAACGTAGATTATCCCAAAACCGTGTAGGACCACCCATCCTTGCCTGCGATCCTCAATAGAAAAAAGATCTTTAGGGAACATTGTGTTTGAGTGTTGAGCTTTACAGTGGGAAACATTGGAGGTTGGGTCATGAATTGATGTTTCCAGTGAAGGATGAAGAGTCATATTTGTTGGGTCCAAAAATGGTGATTTAGTTTCAGGCACTTTATCAAACGGAGTTGAATATGTAGGATGTTTAACAGGATCTTCCAGCACTGAGTGATCTGTGATATTTCCAGTATCTTCTCCAAAGCCAGACAAAAGATTAGGGGGTTCAGTACCAACACTCTGATTGTCAACAGTTCCAAGGAGGATACCAGAGAAGAAAATCCTAACCATAGTCTTCTCCATATTGTACATAAAACTGCTAATTCACTTGTTTGGCTCTAATGAGAAACACTAAAGGAAGGGCTGATCTTCTCAAACAGACCTTGGATTTACAGGATCCAAAATTAGAGCTGTCTGAATTGGATTTGAGTCCTTCAAGAAAACCTGTTGGTAAAGGAAAAAACCTCAGTTAAATTAAACAAGCAGTTCATCAGGGATACAAGATATAATAGAGTTTTTCTGCAAGCATTCGCTACAAACAGTTTGAACCACTTCAGTTTTTCCATCTTATCGCTTTTTTTTTTGACATTTCAATCATAAACTTTGCCATATTTTAATCAGATTTTATATAATTGAATCTTTTCAAAATAATGAAGTCTATCAGCATTGTTCAGATCCTTTTGTGCACTTTAGTATCTCAGATAATAAAGTAAAAACTAAATCTAACATGAAATCAAAGTCAAACAAACCAGAAACCATGGAGACATCTGGGGGAAACAATGACAAGGAGGTGGACTCAGCGAGACGGAGTTGGAGGAAGTTAGACGAGGAACCAGCACTGAGGAACTGAACAGAGAGTGCATTTTTTGGAGACTGAAACAAAGAGAAGACTAACGAGCAGATTGGGAACAGGTATGAACAGAGCAGAACAGGAAAGGAGCTAGGGAAAAAGGAGAACACAAGAGGGCAGCAGAGGGCAACAAATAAAAACCTAAAAACTGAAGAAAAAAAAAACAGAAAACACAACAAAATAAGAATTAAACCACTAAAACTAGAAAACATGGAACAAAGTAAAACAAAATACTTAAAAAAAACATAACAGGACCAAGACTGTGACAGAATGTGTGAATGACTGAATGTAGTTTAAAGCGCTTTGGTCAAGTCCTCTGACCTGAAAAAGCTTTATATAATTACAGCCCATTTTAATCCATGTGTTATTCCAAGGCTGGACTATTGTAATTCTTTGCTTTTAGGAAGTGTTCAACCTGTAGTTAAAAGCCTTAAGCCGATCCAATAAAAATTGAAAATAGAGATCATATCTCTCCTATCCTGGCTTCTTTTCATGGCTTTCTATTAAATCCAGAATAGAATTTAAAGATTTCAGCCGGGATAGACATTTCTCCCTAGCTCTACCCTTCTTATAACCTGACAACAGCCAGATGCATGTCTCGCTCCGCCTAGCTCCACGGAGCGAGACATGCATCTGGCTGTTGTCAGGTTACCCTTCTTATACCTCATACAAAATAGTTAGGCTCTGTTCTGTATTTGTGCTGTTATTTTGGCTGCTGGATCTCATTGGGACCATTTTTCCTCCTTCTGCTTCATTCTATCTATATTCTCCCATTTATCAAGTTTCACTCAAACATTTGTTCTCTCTGCTTTACAGCCATCAGTGTGAGTACAATCCTATTCGACAAACCATGTCTTTAGTGTCCCATTTCCAAACAGTTACACACAATATGTAATTAAACTATTAATATAGCCTACACGTTAATGGAAAATATAATAGGCTAAAACTAAGAGCATTACAGTTCAATGCTACGGAAATAATTAAAAAGAACTTCACACTTACTTTATTCCTGCGTTTAGTTTTCAATCAAATTTTAAGATATCCAAAATAGAGTTTTTTTTACTTTATATTTGCAGTCTGCAGTACATTTTTTCGAGGAAAGAAAACTTGATCCGTTTCAAACGGGTTATAGAGCAACTTCAAAAAAAAAAAAAAAAAAAAAAAAAAAAATCCAGGACCGTTCAGTCTGACCTCCCAGATTCCACATCCCCAAAGCATAAATCTTATGTATTTCCAAAAACTAAGACAGTTTAATTAAATTACAATTGGTACTTAGACACAGCAGGGAGCAGATTTCTCATCTCGATCAAAATATTTATTTTACAGGGGCTAAAAAGTTTCATCAAATCCAGTCACCACAACTTCCAAGAGCGCCTCTCACAACTTCAAAATAAACTTCTTATCGATTCTGAGTTTGGGAGTGGAGAAGAAACCAGTTTTGTATGATTATCCCAATTACAAAGACCCACAAAGAAAAAAATAATGTTTTGGCAGAAACGCGTGTTATTGATGTTGATTTCATATTTCATAATTAATAATTAATTAATAATTTAGTATTAAATTAAGCGTTCATTACCGCATGTTTTTCTCCTATGAATTAAAAAATAATAATATATAGCATTCTCTCCTCGAGTTTCCAGGAAGTCGAAGCGGAGAAAGACGGGCGGGACCGCGGCTTTAGGCTATGGCAACCCAAGAATGCCACTATTCGCATCTACTTATGACTTAGACAGATGTATTTGTCATTTTGTTTACACAAGTGTAAAACAAAAATAAATATTACGTTTAGAACGGTTCTCTGGACAATTTCATTTATTTTTTAAAGTGCAGCCTTGAAAAATAGTAATAAATAAAAAATATATAAAAACAGTAATATAAAATAATTATCACGTTAAGATTTAAATTCACCCTCTAAAAACACCCGTTTTTCCGAAATTTTGCTGCTTTTTACGGTATTTTAAATCTGAATAAGATTTAAATCTTAAGGTGATAATTAGATGCCAATAGGGGCATTCTTGGCTTTGCTTTGCGCACGCGGTCTGGAATGGCGCAGCGTGGCGCAGCTGTTGTGGAGGATGTGGGTTTTCGCTGTAAGGGCCGAATGGGCAGAAACTATGATCAAAACCACAAACAACATAAACCGATGTTAATAATGATAATAATTATACGTGCAAATATTATTAGATAATTTCTAAAACACCAAACTACCCAGATAAATAAATTGGAATTTCAGAGGAAAATTACAGTCTGGGTATGAACTGTATTTGATTTTGCCTCAAATTTGACGAAAAGCGTTTAGAATAATAATGGGGAAAAAAATTATTATAGTTATGATATGACACCATAGTCTTTGTAGTTTTTTGTTTGTTTGTAATAGATCCATGTTATGAATAATGCACATTTTGTTAGACTACATAGGAGCGGAACTATATATCGGTAAAAGATGTTCTCTACGGACAGCATTATTGATGCACTCCTAAAACAACATAAGCGAGATTACAGAAACGGTCTAACTTGTTTAGCCATTTTTGTGTCTTATATTTCATCCTTTGTGGGGGTTTTTAACTTATGGATATTTTTCCTTTTATATTTGATAAATAAATATCCCGACCGTGTCTCTGCTTTAGCCGTTAGGTGGCAAAATGCTAGCAAACTAGCCCCGGTTGCTAGTGCTAACCTGCCTAACGCCGCTAATTTGAGTTTTAATTTTAACTTAAGCTTGGAGAATTTCAGGTAGTTTTACAGTAAACTGTGTTTGGGAAATATTGTAAAACAGTTTCATTGCGGATCTCATTCAGAGGTGAGCAGCAATGCCTACAGTGATTTTAATGGACGTGTCCCTGTCCATGACACGACCAGTGTCCGTGGATGGCAGCGAGGAGTTCCAGAGGAAGAACCTGGCAGTTCACGGACTTAACATGCTGTTTGAACACATGGCTTCTAACTATCGCCTGGAGTTCACAGCGCTGATGGCTTTCTCTTCCCTTTGGGAGCTGCTGGTGCCTTTCACCAGGGATTACAATGCATTACAGGTAAGAGCTGCGTTTGCATAGAAAGTAATTTCTGCCTTCATATTGGTCTGTTTAATGATTTGGTGTTGTTGTTCACAGGAGGCACTCAGTAACTTGGAAGACTATGATAAAACATGTCTTGAGTTGGCTCTTCAAGGAGTCAGTAGCGTTGTTCAGCAGGAATGGGGCAGTGCAGGTCCCTGTCAGGTATGCAAGCAGCCATATTTATGTGGTTGATTTTATTTTTTTTATGTATTATTTTTGTCACACACAGAACAAAGCACATATTGGCAAATATTTATCACAGCAATTGATATAGTGTGACAATACAGTGCATGGGAGGCATTCAGGTCTTGCAATACAGGAGTCAGTTTTTCCTCTTATGTAGGACAGTAGAGGATCCCAGATCTTGTGATAGTTTTTTATTTTGTCCATGTTGTGATACCTATGTTCCCCATTTCCCTCAGCCACATTTCGTAGCTTGGTGCAAAGTCACTTTTCCACATCAGCAAGATCATTTTCTTTGCCACACAACCATCGCTAAAGAGACAACTTGAGCCTCAAATGTATTGGCCAAAAGATGCGTGGTTGATTTTATCCCTTTTTTTGGTCTTATGAAGTTCTCTGTTATTTGGGTATATTCATACAAAACAACGTTGTGTTCAGTAGATATGTGTGACCGAAAGCATTTGCTCGATTTACTGGAGGTCTCTTCCTGTTAAAAGGGAGTTTTTCCTCTCCACTGTCGCTACAAGCATGCTTAGTGTGAGGGATTGCATTAGAGTCAATGAGTCGATGCAATTGACTGGTTTTCCTTAGATATAACTTTATATACTTTATATTAATTTGACTGGATGATCTGGTGAACTGTAAAGTGCCTTGATATGGCATGTGTTGTTAATTGGCGCTATATAAATAAACTGAATTGAATTTAATTCTTTAAAGAATATTGTTAGTTAGGTAAAAAAAAAACATATCAATGCAATAGAAAAAAAAAACGTATTAATCCTCTTCAGTAGATTTCTAATAATGCCATTTTATTTCCAGTTGCATCAGAAAAGTACTCCACATAGCAACCAAATATAAACCCAAACAAACCCAGAGTTAGCATTAGAAGGTCCTTTTCACTGCGCTGTATGTCCCTCACTATTGGATTGGAGATGAATTTGATGAAACAAAGGGTTCTCTAGGGTTTTAGTTTTGCAGCTACATCTGCAACATCTGGACATTGTTCAAGATGGCCAGATGTTTCTGTGTTCTTTTCTCTGGATAAGGTTATCCACATTCAGGCCTCCTGATTAGATTTTATATGCCCCAAAGCACATTGATTGGGTGGATATTGAATAAACACACAAAAATTAATATTGCTATAATGCACTGGTTAGACATCTGCAAAGGTGTTTTAATAAAGTAAACACAATTTGATCTTTGTTAGCTTCTCCAATTATTTAAATCGACCCATTATACAGAGACACAAAACTGACCTTACATATTTTATGTCAATTTAAGAAATGCTACAGTTCGTTCAATACCTTGCAGATGCAGAAAGGATATCTTTTAACAGCTCTTTAGATATTATTGCTTTAAAAAACTATCATTCTGTTACATTTTGGTTTTTGGTCTGCCAATTTTTGTAAGCATTGAATTATGAACTGCTTTTCAAGGCAAAAATAAAAATGGAAGACACTCTGAGAAAAGAAAAAAAGGAAATGAAGTTTCCAGGACAGATCTAATCTCCACTAAAAACTGCCACAATATTTAGGCCTAATCTCTAATTTATTTAGACACTGATTAAAAACTAATTTGACCCTTTACATTACTGTGAAAAAAAGTTTTTTTCTTACTCTTGTGTAGAGTCTGTGATGGGGTTTGGGTCATGCTTATTATCCATCTTCAGTAACAGTCTGTGTTCTCTCACTAACGCTTTAGTGGTGATTAAATGTAACTCATTACTATTGATCTCTGCTATGATCTAATTTCACTTTCCAGTTGCGTAGTCTGGCTTTAGCCCTACTTTAGCTCTTAGAGTGAAATGTGATAGCATCACATTTGACTTTATACTGCTTTGTTATATATGAATAAGACTCACCACATGAATCTTTCATCCTGAGATAACAATTATTTATTTGGGTTTTTTCCAAAACCCCCTAAACTAATAGAACAGCTTGGATCTTTTGTTTTTGTCATTTTTGAGACATATTTCTTTATTTGTTATCGTCATGTTTGAAAAAAAAAAAAATGTCAATACAATTAGTGTCTACAGTTCAGACGTGCGGCTGCACCACTTTCTGTAACTGGTGAAATGTATGTATCTATTTGAAGACCTTTTTTTATTAGTTTTTGGTTCTTATGCATGGAGAAAGTGGTCATTTATGTTTGCAGTAAATTATCACCAGTCATTCCTAAATTCGCTGTTATTACGTCCTTCCCCATTTTAACACCTCAAATATCAGACATCCAAAATTGTCTAGAGAGCTGTTCTAAACGAAATTTCTTTTTCTTTACACGTGTATACAAAAAGACAAAATAAATCTAAGTTTACATGAAACTGTATTTTAAATGGTTGAAACTTACATTACTTCTAGCAACTTACACGTTATATCATCACCCTTTATTTAGTATAATGTTTTTAATGCCTTTTATTTTTTTTATTTTCTGCCTTTTCAGTAATGGCTCCTCCTTAACTGCTCATGTTTATGCGTTTCCCCCTTTTGTCCTGTAGGTGGTACTGGTTACAGACGGATCTCTTGGCATTGGGAAGGGTTCCCTTCGCCACTCTCTTCAGACTCTGAAACATCGGGTTGAGGACAAAAAGTTTCCCCTCCCTTTTCCTTTTCCCACCAAAATGTTCATCATGTGTATTGCCAATGCAGAGGAGGTACTGAAGGGCACATTTCTGACTGTACATTGGTTTTAAAAGATTACTCAGTCTATATCTATGGTGATAAAAATGAGCTACAGGGAGCATGTCATAACTTAAGTGTCAAATTTCAGTATTCTTTTTGAAAGATCCAGAAATGAGAGCCTTTCTTGTTTTATTTAGCTGCAAATGACTGATGCCCTGGAAAACCTAGAGGAGCTCCTTCGTATCAGCGGAGGGGATGGACAGATCTTCACTGTGGATGGACCGCTTTGCATGAAGAGTGTACAAGCAATGTTTGGGTATGGCTGAGTTAACGATGCTGTAGAGATGCTTGTTTGTTTATTCATATGCTGAGTTTTTCTGTCATTTCCATTCCTCCAGAATGCTAATTGACCGGGCCTACTCACCTTTCCATGCAGTTCTGCACTGTGGGAATCTGTCTTCAAACGTTCAGGTGTTCCCTCGACCTGAACCTGTCGTGGTGGACGACGAGGTGGAGCCTATTCCCAGAGCTGTCAGCACAGGTCATTATCAAGATTTTTAAACTCACTTAAACTTTTTATTATCGATCTTCACTCAGGTTATGTTTGTTTTCAGATTTGGAAATAGTGGGCTTCATTGAAATTGCTGATATCTCCAGCCCTCCTGTAATATCCAGACACTTGGTCCTTCCTATTCCTGTAAACAAAGGTTTGTTTTGTTGCTCCAGCTGATTAATCTTTCTGCATAAGTGATTGGCAGCTTTTGCTTTTAAAAGGTTTCACTGAAGAATAGTTATAGAAAACAAAATAAGAATGGCTATTAGGCCACTTCAGGGAAATAAAATCCTCTCGGATTGTTTTTTTGTAGGAAATTATTATAAAAGAGGATCATTTGGAGAGAAGGATTTAAGCAGCATTAATTAATTAAATTCTTGATTCCTTTTTGTTCTCACAGGAAGTTGCTCTAACATATTTTTATATAATTTTTAGAAGTGGATGATGTTGGCGCAGGAGCTACTGATGAGCTTGAAGAGGAACCTTCGGCTAGCCAAATGGCTGGAAAAAGCCCAAATTTCTGTGTTCTTTTACATGGAAGTCTGAAGGTGGAGGGGATGGTGGCTCTGGTCCAGCTGGGGTAAGCATCAACAGAGTCAGAGTATACACCACCTTCTAAATTTCTCTGCAGAAGAATATTTTTCATTTGGGGGGTAACAGCTGCCTAATTTCACCAAACTCTTTCCTGCTTTGATCTCAGGCCGGAGTGGTTTGGCATGTTGTACTCTCAAGCAGACAGCAAAAAGAAGTCCAACCTGATGATGTCTTTGTTTGAGCCCGGTCCAAATCCTCTACCTTGGCTGGGCAAGATCACACATTTGGGACCAGTTTCAGGTAACATTTTACTGCATAGATATCCGATTGCTGGATATTTATTTTTTTATTATGCAACTTTTGAATAAACCTACAAACATGAAACACTAATATGGGTGAGAGACTGTTATCTTAAAGCTCAAGGGTCCCTGTATGTGTACATGATCAGTTAATGATTACTCTTTGTTCTGCTTTGAGCTTAATGTGGATCGACCGACTTCTCTCTGATGCGTCATCTTTCTGATGTTGCAGAGGCTGCTGAAAATCCCTACGGCGAGGATGACAGTAAAAGTCCTTTCCCTGTGCAGCCACAGGTCAAACGAAGCTACGCTCAGAACGTCACAGTGTGGATTAAAGCCAGCGGACTACAGGTGCAGTGAAAGGAAAATAAGAAATCTGTAAAAATGTTGAAAACTTCAGAGGAATACATTATTATGGGGAGTGTTGGCCTAGTGGATTAGAGCAGTGCACTTGTGTTCTGAGAGGGCTGCAAGTACCCGGTCCTCACAAACTCCACTCTGGGTTCCTGAGCAAAACCCTTAGCCCCACACTGCTCCCCGGGCGCTGCACAATGGCAGCCCACTGCTCCCCAAGGGGATGGGTTAAATGCAGAGGTAAATTGCTCTAAAGGAAGATAAAGTAAAATTCATTATTAAATTATCTTGCTTTAAAAGTCCAAACAGGCAAAGCACCAAAACGTTTGTCTAAATGGAATAACACTGTAATGACCTGAATATCTTGTTGATAAAATAACATTTCCTACCTCTACTAACCATCCTGTACGACATTTGTGTGGGCAGTAAGGTGTAAACTTCAAACCTCAACTATTTCCTGTCAAGAATTAAAAATGTTATTCTATGCATGTTCAAATATCTCCTGACAAGTTTTTTTTTTTTTATTGTCGTAACACAGACTGATGTTCAGAAGATCTTGAGGAATGCAAGGAAACTACCGGACAAAACTCAGACATTCTATAAGGTAGGTTTAGCAGCAATTGTTTTAAATAAAGACTTTTTTTTTTTTTCTAAACAAAAGTAAAACTTCTGTGTTGTTAATCTACCAGGAGCTGAATCGCCTGCGGAAAGCAGCCTTGGCGTTTGGTTTTTGGGAGCTCCTGAAAGGCGTGGCTGAGCTGCTGGAGAGGGAGTGTACAATGCTGCCCGACTCAGCCCATCCTGATGCTGCTTTCCAGCTCTCTCATGCTGCACACCAGCTCAAACTAGCCAGTTCTGGGGACTCCCAGTATGCTGCTTTTGATCACAACATTGTCCCCATGCACACAGACTTCTCCAGCTGAGCCATAAACTGATTCTCAGCTTGAACTGCCAGCAGATTTGGAACATTTCTGAATTGTTTACTGGAACATCATTTTGAGAAATAAGTCAAAAGAACATTGAAAATGTTAATTGTAAATATTCATTTTTTTTTTTTTAACAGGTTTCTTAAACGGATATATTTCCAAGATTGAGCAGTAACTAAATTTGTTTTTTTATTTGGTCTCATAAGTTATCAAAATGACAATTAAAGAGACATTTAGAACAAGAAATTAGTAGAATAATAAAGATACATACTGGGTCAAAGCTTAGTTAAAATAAAGGACAACTTTTTTCAGATCTTTATCAGAAGGAAACAATAAATAAAACCATGCATTAGAGGTTGATATTCTTCATTTAAGCCAAAATCATTGTAAACCAGCTGTTAGCACTAAGGTCTTTCAGAAGTTGTTGCTCAGAAGTCATGTAGAAAGAGACATTAAAAAAAAAACAGATGGGTTAGAAAGAAATGTCAACTGTTTCGATCTCTGTGGTTTAACAGTAATCTGAAAATCTAGTTTATGAGAACTACTGCTAAATGTGACCATGTGGTGATAAAAGATAACACAATCTGGGGAAAGGTTATGTAAAAAGATAGAGGAAGTCTGAGGAGAGCAAAGGTATGTGAAGTAGAAAACAACTATTAAGGGAAAAACATTTGGAACCGGAGCAGAGGCGTAGCTGATGGTCTTAAAAAAAAAAAAAAAAAAGGTTCAAATGTAAGCAGGCAGTAGTGGCGTTCAAGTATTATTGTTAGTACTGAGCGTTAATGCGTCTTCCTCTTTTTGGTCCGGAAACGCCTTTTCCTCTGCTTGTAAAGGTGCCGAAAGTTAATAAAAAGCCCTGAGAGTAGAAAAAAAAAGATCCGTCAGTATTAAAAACACACTTTTGATAAATAGTGCATTTTTAGATATACGTTTTCTGTTAACTTTACCCAAAAACATGAGAATCAGGTAGATTTGCAGGACGTAAGAGAAGCTGATGGATGTCCCAATTGCTTTCGGCAGAGGAATGCTCAAGAGTTTGGTTTGGTCAAATATGGGAATGGACTGTATCACTGCGACAGCTTTATGGAATAAAAACATGCATATTAATATGTTGATGTAAAAAAAAAAAAAAAAATAGGAGACTCATGAACTAACTCACCTTCAGCTAAGACACCTAATGGGTACAGGGGGATCCAGACTGTGTAGCGCAACCAAGTGAGAGTTTTCCACTCGGTGTTAAAGCAGCCCAGCATGTAAAACGGATACCTGAATTAGAGCAGGATGTTTGCTTTACTTGGGGGGAACAGATGCTTGTATGCCACCAGATTTGCATTTATAACAATATTGCTTTCAAACTCGTTTCATTAGGCTGTGGATTCTGCTGATCAGAAATGGAAATGAATAGTCTGTGTAGCTTGGAGACAAAGATTTAGAGCTTCTGAGTAAAAGTCTTTGACAAATGTTGGTAGAATGACGCTTCATGTCTCCAAGCTGGATATTATATACACCGTGGACATGAAAATTAACCAGTGGTTTGAAATTGGGGTGAACACTTCTGTCAAAATATCTTGTTTCTATCATTTACCTTTTTTTATATATATTTTTAAACAATTACATGAGAAAAAATATTTTTTTATGCAGAAAATGTTTTGTAATTGTGATAGCTGCTGAATTGACTAATGCAGACTTGGTTGACAATGTTCTCCAAGTAGAATAACCTATAGTAGGTTATTGCTTAGGAAACCTGGCTGATAATAGAGTGCTGTAAACAAGCATGTTAATGGAAAGTTAAGCTTTTATAGAGGTGTAATGATGGCATAAGGTTACAGTGCACAAATCCTGTTTCAAAGTCCTGGGTACAGAACCTGGTCAGGCTTGATGCCTTTGTTTTCCAGACAGACCATTAGATCCTTGCTACACATCTTTCCTCTTCCCACCCTATTTACTGTCACACTTTCAAAATAAAGGCCACTGGTACCAAACAAAAAGGTTCACAAGGCAATTTCTTCATTATAGTAAAATTTGTAGGTCTAAGAATTTGCGGTAGAGTGGTGAGACAGAATCCAAGCTACCACCATCTTCCTCTGGTGTAGCTTAATGAAGATTTCATTTTGCAGCAGGACTTGGCACCTGCCCACACCGCCTAAAGCAGCAATACCCGAGTTAATGATCCTAGTTTAAAGGGGCTTGATCGGTCAGCTAAATCAACCCGACCTAAACCACAGAGAATTAAGCCTTGCAAAGAAGGAGCTGAGCAATCCCGATTCCAACGGTAATTAAATAAAATCTTTTGTTAATTTATTTTTAAACCTTTAATGGTATTTCAAGACATGTGCCAAGGCAGTTTTACTCTACAAAAGAAAATCTGAAGTCCTAATTGCAAAACTGGTTTTATTACCTCAGGTTTTTATAGAGCATTAAAATAGACAGCCCACTTTGCTGTAGTAGTAACCTGCATTCCAAAGACCTTTAAACATTTTGATTATTCTGGTGTCAGTGAATATCTAGAAACACAGACCTCCTTAACGCCTCAGTAGAGTGAGGCTGTTCGCACTCATTCTCTGATGCTGCTGATGCTGTATTTCATCCAAAAGGAAATCTAGGCCAAGTATATAGTGCTGTACTTTTATATTTTATTCTACAATCTTGATTAAAACCTATATTTGTATAGTATTAGACATTTCGGAGAAAGTAAAACTTTGGATATATATGACAATATTCAAACGATTTGCGCCTTTACTTACCTAAAAATCTCGATGGTGCTCCAAAGATAGAAAACAAAGAAGACAACTGGCCGGTGGTGCATTTCTTCCAAACTACCAAAAATGATGAAGAGGATAAAGTTCCTTCCAACCACCTACCAAGAGAAAATAAAAGATACACCATGAGATCTCATACATTCATAATCTATATGACATTTTTAAATTTGTACATTTTGCTGTTAGTAAAACTCACAAATGTATATGCTGTACCTGTATAAGGGTGGGAATAACACCAGTCCGAACTACACCAAAAGCAGCATTCAGCACCTCAACTGATGCCAAGATTTGACAGAAGAACATCACATCCGATATGGTGTGAAACGTGTCGTACAGCGAGTCTGAAATTTGATTAAGTGGTTAAAGTTACAAATGAAAGGAAGGTTTAAAAAAAGCAAACCACATGCAGGAGGATGGTTAAACTAGGCTGGTATTTCTGACCTTGCCCAAAGATGAAGAGGCGTACAGTCATGTTAACGAAGATCCATGAAAATCCAAGAAACTGAACCAGGTTGTAAACAAACAAAAAGCCTGTTTTCAGGCTAACAAACCCTGAGAGAAAAAAAAATACAATTTATCCACTACACCAAAAATGAGAGAGAAATATTTTAGGAAATAAGTTTTAAATCACCTGATAGAATAATTACCTTCTTCTGAATGCCTCAAAGCTTTCAGTCTGTTCCTTTTCTCCTCCTTTTCAAAATTTAAAGAAATAATGACTATTAGGATTGATAAAGCATTTGTTTCCCTGATCACCAGCAAAAGAAACACTGACATAAAAAGCACTGTACAAAAAAAAAAAACACTGAGTGATGTTGAAAAATCTTATTTTGCCTGACCTTTTCCTGGATCTCCATCTCAGCGTCCGACTCGTCCAACCAGCGATCGAAGTCTGGGGCCAGGAAAACCGGTTTGCGCTCCTGAGCGGTCAGCCTTTCCCACCAGCCTCGCTGCTCTTTCCGCACTGTGATGTTTACCTGCCGCTGCGTGGACTTGTGTCTCACCTTGACGCAAAGGAGAATAAATTAAAGTCACGGTAAAAAAAAAAAAACATAAGAAGTAAAAGCTGAAGTGAGAAGACAAGCATACCTCTGACTTTACTGGTAAAAAAAACTCTAAGCTGAACTCATATTCATGCTGTCCTTTAGCACCATGCCCCAGAGCTGCAGGGATAAAAAAAGTGATCATTAGTCTCCTTAAAAAACACACAAAAAAAAAACTGGGCAATGTAAGGAAAACTACTAAGAGTAGAAAAACATGACTTGCCTTGAAAATGAAGGACATTCTCATGTACTTGGACATCAATATTCTGCAGAAATAAACAGATAGGGGGAATGCCCTTGTACTGAATAAGCATTTGTATAATGATACATTTTAATGGAAAATTGTGATCAAATAGATCTCAAAGCAAGATAAACCTACCTTTTGTAGTCACAGAATGTACTGGAATTCGATTTTAATGTAAGCCATAATCTTTGTTACAGAAACTACTGAACAAATTGGCAGTTTTACATCTCTTCCGCCTAAGATCTGGTCTACCTCATTAACAAATAGCGTTACAAGTTTCAAAATAAAAACTGTGGTAACCTTCAGAGAAGTTGCGGATAGATAATGTGGAGATAGAACTGAGCTAGAAAAAAAAAAAAAAATCCGCCCTCGAGTTTCAGAGGTTATTTCAGGCTTTACTAATCCACGAATCCACCCACGCGCTACTTCAAGCCCTTCCACTCAACTAATTCTGATATGAACAGGTTTGGTTAGGGAAAAGAAAGGGAACCTTGTGAAGATGTCATATCAGCGAAGCTAATCTCAGTTTGTATATAACAGTATGCAAACAAACTGCCATCTTTATTTGCATTTGTATTCTGCCATCTGAAGTAATAAAAAGAACTCAGGACAGCAGGTGTGTTGAACTCACCAGTGCATCTGTGAGCTCCACGCGCAGGTAGATTTCCTCGTGGCGTTGTGCCCAGTAAACAAGAGGTGTCAGCGTCATTATTGAAGCTCTAAAAAAGCTTATTTTCAAATGAAATAACAATAAAGAAAATGAATGAAGCCCCTTGCAGCATGCTAGCTTCCTGGAAGGTCCTCACCAGAATATTCTGTCAATGCGCGCGCACATTCTGTCACGGTGGAGACGTGCTCGTTCACGTTCGGTCCTCTCCTCTGATTGGCTGGAGATGTATATTTACGGAAGTGTTACGGGTCCTCAGCAGTTGTTCTTTTTGTTTTGTTTTCTTTACATAACACGAAATAAAAAAAATAGAATATAGTAAATGAGTTAGTAGTTTACGAGAAAATAAATTGCAATTAATTAAACAAGATATTTTGGACAAACGTTCTACTTCAAAATATTTTTTGTAATTTAAAGAATTACCATAAGAAAACGAAATTCATAGAAAGAATTTAATATTTATTAACTTAATTATTATTTAAAGAAAAATTTCTAGAGGGAGGGGCTGTTTTATTAATATATATATATATATATATATATATATATATATATATATATA